ACGGTACGTACCTGTCAGAGGATGCATGTCGGACGCTATTTTATGTCTGACCCTTAGTGAAACGCTATTCTGCGACGCAACCCAGCATGTTATATGTATGTCAGACTGGCGTTACAAATGGTAGGATAAAATCCGGGAAAATGCCGCCACTATACTATGCCGCCAGGTAGTGCCTGCGCAGCCTCCCGTACACCTCTTCAGTGTTTGTTGAGAACAGTGGGGCATGATGGCCAGTCAACGGTGTGGATTTGTTGAAGGTGAATCGACGGCCTTTGGTCGTCAAAGTCAAAACTCGAGGAGCCTACGTGGCAGGCCGGTAAAGGTTTCAGCCAATAGGATCACGAATAAAATAGCCTTACCGCGCGAAATTGACATGCAAATTCCAGTACAGGGAATTACTGCAAATTACTGGTATTCTCCTGAATCCTGATCCCGCCGGCTCTGACAGGTGCGGTGTCACGTCACTCACGTGTCCCTTTTGAGTGCTGACTCCTGACTCCTGACTCCTGAGTGCTCCAGACTCCAGACTCCAGAGTCCACTCAGCACTGCTCCTGCATGGGATACCTTAGGGCTCAAGCACTCGGTATTTCGCACTGAGCATAATGACCTCCATAATGCACCTCAGGCTGTTACCGTCCAAGTCTGGCGCCGGAAACCTGTCGTCATTTACACAAAGCTGTGAATGCATTTTCCGCATTTGCCGAGCCCGCAGAAAGCCACAGAAATGGTGGTAGTGTCGAACATTCACACTCACCATTTCCAAAGTCTGTTTGTGTGCGTTACCTGGGTACGGTATTTAGTAGGGCCAAAATATCGAAATGGTCGTCCTTCAGACTCCAGAGTGTACTCCCGGTACAATCGGTATGTCCGTCCATTGTGGCCGATTCTGACAGTGCACGCCGAGCTTTTCAGGCAGCATGCAAGACGGTGTGGTTTCTAAGTGCCAGGACTCGCAGGACTCAGGAGCAACGTTGAACGTCACCGTGATGTGTGAGCTCTGTATAAGCTCGTCCGAATTTCTTCCTTTCCACAGTCTCATTTCCAACCTTGTAAGCTCCAGCAATCTACTGAAGAGAGCTCAAGCATGGCGCCTCTTCCCCAGCCCTCGGGTCGCTCAAAGTCCTCTCTGCCCTCGACTTCCCCCTCTTTGGCCCTCGTCGTTCTGACAATCCTCCTAGCGACAACCGTGCCTAGTAGCTCCAACCGGCCTCGAGTCAACACTGCGCAGGCCCTGGAGCTACCAATGGCCCGCGCTCTTGGTGGCCGTAAGGTGTTGCAGAACGACCCACAACCAGTTGTCCAAGACTACACTGCCTATTGCACTCCGTCGAGGAGTAAGTCTTTAGTATGCTGTAGGGGTATGACACCACTTTTGTCAACATTCTGGTTAATTTAGCCTCCAGCGCATTTACTTGATTGGGAGAGCGCTCATCAGACTCTTCCCTTCAAGATTTGATTTCAATTCAAACACTCAAAGGTTTATTGAATGTGGAGATGATGATTATACAATGAATGGCTTGATGATCTGGAATGCGATATGCTTGTCAGAAGTGGCGGGAAATGCGGTCCTTCTTTGACTGCAGTGAAGCCTGTGCTTTCTCTTTCCCTGGTCTCACCTCGGGTCTCACAGCTTAAAGCCCTCTGTTCATTTGAAAAAGCTGCATAAAAACAGAGGCTTGTTGCAGCCCTTGGTCTGGCAGGGTTGTTTTTCATTTGGCGACAAAAATGACTCATTCCTGCTCTTTGTGGATGCAATGATGCAATAAGACATGCTCTTTGTTTTCACCTGCTTAAAGGGACCAAGGTTCAAACGCCTAAGGTGCAAGTGTTGAGCTTGCTGTGCAATGCATTATGTCGCATGATCAGAGGTTCTTGAATTTAGCTTCCTCAGTAGCTCTGAAACGTACAGGTCTCACAATGTATCAAATTGTCTCCCATTGTCTCATGACATTGTATGGACAGATTTCTTTGAGCTAGGATGTGGATTAAATTCTGCACAGGCCGAGTTCAAAAACTGCATGAAAGCTGCTCTGAAAGAAACAGATAACTCTTTGCAACCTAATGTCAAAGAGAGGACTCTTACATCTCATTTAAAAGAGGCACTTCCGCAATTTTATCCTGCTTTTTCAATCACTATCAGATTCTGAGCAATGTCCTGTCATGACCTTGCCAGTACGGAAGGGTTTTGGAACACCTTGAGTTTAAAAGAACTTGTGCGCGGCAGTCTCATATAGAGTTACTTCAGAATGTGGCAGACTCTGCAGAGGACTCAGCTTCCGGAGAGAGTGCCTCCAATGATTGTCTTGATACAAACTTCTTGGTTTCTGTATGCAGGTACAGATATTTATACAAGCTTTGACGAGGTCGCCACTCCGTTTGCCGATCTTGGCGACTACCTTGCAGTAGTCTTCATCGATCTCTGCAACTCTGTTGTCTTCACAGTGGACGGAAAGCCTTTCAAAGTTCCGGCCACGATAACTGGTAAGCACGAAAGGTTGCAGGGCAATGTAGCGTGTGTTTGATTGAATGTTTTCCAAAGCTTCTGAATGGGCAATGCACTGTAGAACTTCGATTAAAAGGCTCTTTGAGAGCACTGATTGTGTAAGGCTACGGATGCTGCAAACAGAGGGCCTTACTGTCATTTTTGTAATGCCTCAAACACCTAAGGTTTACTGTGAAGTAAAGGCAAGCCTTCACTTAGAAAATGGCAGGGCTTAAAATATGGCAGGGCTAGGAATCGCTGTGAACCAGAAAAGTTAAAAAGGCTTGCGAATGTCCTTACTGTCATCTTACCGCAACAGAAAGCTTTGCCCTGCAAGTCCTTTCAAGAGCTCGGAAATGGAAAAACGATTTACCCTCTCAAGCAGCTTCCACAAGTTGATTCCTCCCTTGCCGTCCTTTACAGGTACCGTGACTCAATACCCTCTTTCTGTCCTTTACAGGTACCGTGACTCAATACCCTCTTTCTGACGGAAGACGGATCCGCGTCACGATTGACGGGTCCAACGTCTTTACCCTTCCGCAGGTTCTGACGAGTGACGGTAGCGATGGGTACACTATTATGGGCTTGAATCCGTTCCCTGGCGGCTTCGACGCGAAAGATGTTACTAATGTGAGTAACATATAATTGTTCTTGGAGCAGTCAAACTAGTGAACACACACCTATTTCACATGGTCAAGCGCGCCTGTGGTCGGGAGCTGACTTGCAGTGTTTATCACTAACGGCCAGTGCATGTGGTCGTGACCTCCCTGTCTCTTTGAGGGGTGCTTCACCACATCCTGACCATCCCCTGACTGCCACGTGGCCCATGACTGCTTGTTCGACTCTCTCACAGGCCGAGTTTCTCAAGGTGATTTCGCTCGCCACCGTGCACTTCGACCTCAACTTTGAGCTTCACGACAACGGCACAGCTGGTAAGGAAACCAGCTGATTCGGAGGCACGCCTCACGAGCGCAGATCACACAAAAGATTGTCTTTCAACTGCGACCTGATTTTGATGTCTCAGATTCTGCCAGTCTGCTCTTGCCTACATCTGGTTGAGGCCCGAGAATGTTGCCGGAAGAAGTTAGAAGTTCGTAAGCGCCTGGTTCAGATCGCCGTTGCCACATCTTTAAACTCTTATGTACTATTCTGACACGACAAATTCTGAAGTATACACGGGTCTTCGTACTGTGTGCCTTCTGTTTTCTCGCCGGATCGGCTTTACAGGTCACGAGCCCTCAAGAAAGGCCACTCGCACCCCAGCCTGACCCTTTAACAACGTCAGAGATGCTTCGCATTACAATCTTCATCCAACTTCGACTTACCAGCAATCGAGCCCTCACAGAACCGCAGAAGGTTCAGAAACCCTAACCTAAACAGGACAGGCGCGATCAAGCTTGGACCTGAATCATGCTGACTCAAACAGGCTAACTCAAACCCCCAGTTTGCCTTAACCCAAATCCCCTGACCATGTTTCTCATCCATCCGTCGCAGGCGATCCATTCACCACCACACTTACGGAGGCAGTAGGCCCGCCGTTTGGCTTCGTCGACAACCCGCTCGTCAACTTCATCGAACTCGACATTTCCGTCACCGCAAGGGGTCCCCTCCGCCGCACCCCCCCTCCCTTCCCCTACAACGACTTCCCCGTCGGTAACCCCGCGACGATTACCATAACCGAGAAGCTAACCAAAGAACCTGTCCCCGACGGCACGGCTGTCAAATCTTACAAGCTCGACATTCTTCCCCCCGATGACGGGTTCGTTCTCCAGATCATGCAGAAACTGGTTGACCCCACCATTCTGTTAACAGCGGTGTTTCCCCCGGATGTCCCGACGCCCGCTAATGAAACCGCCCCCCCTAACCCCCCCACGGCCCTTAACCCCCTGACCTCCGCCGGAAGGGCCCCCGTGAACGGAACGTGTGGCCTGTACAGTGACGCGCCCAACCAGTGCTTCTCGGCGTCGGGGACCACCTCCGTCTGCTGCCGCGGCCAGGTAAACTGCATTCGAATTAACCAGGTTTTGGCCCTTAACCATAAATGGTTATGGGCTGGGTATGGGCTGGTTGCACAAAGCTTAACATCAAGCAGAGTCGGGCGGTAACCAGCCATTTGAACAAGGTTAAAGCCCGGTTGATTGTCCTTTAAACTGAGACTCGAGTCTGGTAAACGGCCTGGTTATCAGCCAGAGACTCCTGTGCGCGCGAACATACTACGTCCTTATCAACAGCTAACCTCGACAGTCTTGGTTAGAGGAGGTTAGCTGTCTGGAGTCGCAGTGACTTGGGCGGGTTGAGGGCGGAAGTCTCTAGCTGGCCGACTCCGAAATAGTGCGTTCAAGTCTGTGATTGACTTCTCATAAGCCTGGTCTTCAAGCGGAACTGACCTTCCGCTTTGATGTAAGCTTGCTCAGTAGTAAGATCTGTTGTCCCACTTCGGAAGGCCCTGGACTGGTAGCAAATGTGTAAGCTTTCCCCGTTTGCATGATCGAAGGGTCGACCAGACTAGCGAGAAACGTCAAATGAGGACTTCGCTTCCGGCCAGCGGCTTGAATGATCATCCAGATAGAACGCAATGACGTGGACCGTTTGAGTGACCCACAACCATTGCAAGGTACGAACAAGATCACATGCGAAGAGTCCGACTCTTGTCATTGCACAGCGATTTCCGGCCTTTAACCATGGACGGTTATGGGCTGGTTATGGAAGCGGTTGAGTGTCCAGTGACCAAACCTAGGCGGTAACCAGCCTTGAGACAAGGTTAAAGCCCGAGTACTAGTCCAATACCCCGAGACCAAACCTGGTAACCAACCAAAATCTCCTGTGTTTTTTGGCTGCAGTGCCTCAGCCCCCCTCCTGAACCGGCCGCTTGCACCGAGGGATCCCCCGCGCCAACTTCGGCGACCACAGCCACCCCTACCCCGACCCCTTCGTCGCCGTCTACCACCACTGCGGCCCCTTCCCCGACCGCCACCCCAGCATCGACCAAGGCCCCGTGCGACTATTTGTCGGCCACGCCCAACCCGTGCTTCAACGTGAACGGCAGTGACTTCGTGTGCTGCCCACGGGGGTGCGCCCCTGGGGCCCCAGGAGCCGTGGCGACGTGTGCCGCTTAACCTTATCTAAGGGGCTCGGTTAGATGTCTGGTTATGTGTGCAAAACCAGTCTTCTGCCCTTTCCTGCTATGTGCGGCTAAGGAACTAAGTGCTTTTCGACTGTGTCCATACAGCCGATCAATTAGCCTGGTCTCCTGGCCACATGGTAGAGGAGAGCTGAAGCCCCCAAAGGTCACTAGTGAATTAGGTCAGGTTTAAGGGAGCTTGGTGAACGGTTTTACCTTGAGAGAGGTGCTCGGAAGAACGGCAGAACTATTATGCAATATCATCCAAGCCTGAGACCCCCTCCTGCAGTACGGTTGTCAAGGTAGTAGTCTCTCCAGCGGTCACGTAACAAGTACAAGCGTCAAAATAGTCGGAAGGATCCTGTGTGCAACTTTGTCGTTTGTGGCGCTATCCACAACACTTCATCATTACAACTAGGTATCTTTAAGAGCTCATGAGGCCCAATGGTCACGTTGCCAGCTTACCCGTGATATCGATCTGCTGGGCAAGCTTTTGTGTTCGAGTTGCCGAACACGGTACTAGGGACTTTGATTAGTCTAGGAGAGGGTTGGCTTTGCAGTTAAGCAAAAGCAATAAGAACGGACTCGATCCAAACCAACTCAACAGATCATTCATGTTCACCGGTTGTGAGATCGAGACGGTACAATCAAACAGGAACGCTACGGTCCAATCTCCAGCCTTCCGAGCATGCAACATGTGTGAAACTCGGGCCATCTACTTCACAAATGCGAACAGAATGATGCACTGCATGAGCACCTCTACTATCTCAATTGCACGATTATCAACATAAAACTCATGCACCAGCCTACTTACAGCCGGCTACTATGGCTGACGGATTGCAATGGGAACGTGGCTTAACGAATTGTGGAAGCGGGTTAGTGCGCGTTCTGGTGTTAAAGGACCCTTCTCTTTTAGTCCTCACTCAGTCTTGCTGCAGAGTCCTCAGTGCCGACCGCCATAGCTTAGGGGACTCACAGCATTGCTTGGCAGATCGACGGCTGGATTCTACATATCTTTCCCTTGTTCTAGATGTTAGTATTGTTCGAAGTCAGACACTTCGCAACCTCTATACATGCTGCTTCACTTCAACGACTCGATTACAATCATCAAGGGAAGATCTCGCACCAACCCGGAGTAATTGTGACAGACCAGCATAGGATCTTCCCGTCCTTCAAACGTGCTTCTGCGCACAAAGCGCCCATCTCTACCGCAACCTTTGCCTATTCTCCTTCCCCTGCCTTGCGTCCACCGATTGGCCGACACTGCCCTTCGCGCCCACTGTATTGGCCGCCGAAAACTCGAGCCCCGGAACAGTCCATTGAATGTTGGCCGAAACGGGTTGCGGTGCCCCCGCGGTCGTTTGGGTGGGAGGGCGCTGGGCTGCTCGAGGCTGCAGTAGAGGAAAATTGGTCGAACTTCAATGACAAATTGACGAGTTGCCGGCCGCTCATCAGCCGAAATGTCACAAGCCCGGCAGACAACCAAGTAACTCAGGGCGGCCGCTGGTGCGAGGTTCGCATCAAGCTTTTATTTTTTTGACGCATCCTTTGTCTTCTCGACTGCCCACAGAAGAAGTCGTACTGAGACCTTTTTGTAAGGGTTGACCGGAGAGAACGATTCAGTTGCCACACATGGAAAGTGCGGGGAGGCGTGCACACTCCATTCTTGCCTCTGACTCGTCATTTGAATCAGTGAAATGGCGAAAGCCTGATTCTTTCTTCCGCTTCACACGGACGAAGAGACGACCCCATCCGTCGCCGCACCCGAAAAGGTGCTCCGACAAGATCTTATAATTCGCCCATTTCCATGACTATCCATACACGAATACTGGAGTCCCAATACTTTCGAAAGCACGAAATCCAGTCCGCGCACGCAGTCCATACGACACCACTGGTGTGAATGCGCCCTCACCTTTGAAGAGGCCTCCGGTGGGTACGTCGCTTTGAGCAGCAGCTCCAGCGTCGGCGTCTGCCCGTGCTTGGCCGCCAGCTGGAGGGGCGTCCGGCCATACTGCAACAACGGAACGGAAGGACACGGAATCAGTGTGAGGCAGCGGATCAGATAACCATGAACATACGTCCGGCCATACTGCAACAACGGAATCAGGACGGAAGCATATCAGGAAGCAGTCTTTGAGAACCCTGCAGCCGGTTGGCGCGAATTGCGTGACTGCTTGCGAAGAGCATTACCAATTTCGTCGATTCTTCAGCCCCAAGACAACGCCTTATCTTCAGACTCCATAGACTGTCAACCTTATCAGCACTCCCTTCTGCGAGTGCCGTCGAAGAACGTTTTGCCCTCAGCAGGCGCACGTCTCTGCGCTTGCCCCAATCATTCACCCAGAATCTGTATTGTGAAGGAGCGAAATCAAAGACTTCACTCGTTGACGTCAAGCTTACGTCATCCCGGGCGTCCTTGTTGGCCCCCGACCGTAGAAGAAGGTCGACCGTCTGCGCCGCGATCTGCGCGTTGGCCGCTGCCAGGTGGAGCGGGGTCTGCCTCAGCTGCGAGGAGAAAGCGACACGTGTCAGCCGCATGAACTGTGACCACCCGAGGGATCGAGTGAACTTTGACGGAGCAACTTATCGGATGGACGTCTCTAAAAGCCTTCCCTATGCAGTTTGGTTGTTTCGAGGCTAGCTTCTAATCCTTTTCGTCTTCTTCCAAAAAAAGAAAACGCTTACGTCATCTTCCGCGTCCTTCAACACTCCCGCCCGGATGAGCACCCCGACCGTGGCGGTGCGGCCCATGGAGGCCGCGATGTGCAGCGGACTCTGGCGCAGCTGCGAAGGAACAAAGTACCATATTGACATGTGAATTAATCTTTTGGTTATTATCTTGGCTTAAGACGAAAATTTAGAGAGTAATTTGGACCCTCAGGGAGAAAAGGAGATATAATCAAATATTCATAATCCGCCCAAACTGCTGACAAACAAGGCCAAAAACAAAACCAGAATCTCCGATTTGGAGGATGCCGCTAATAAATTCTCTCAACGCAGGACCAAACTGTGAATCTTCGATGATTATTCGTGGCTCTTGGGGGTGAATTCCAGAGTCCCTACAAATACACGCAGGACCAAACTGTGAATCTTCGATGATTATTCGTGGCTCTTGGGGGTGAATTCCAGAGTCCCTACAAATACGCGAGGTGAGCCGACTGCGTGCCTCTTTGAAAAAGGATTTGGCGGTCGACGAGTTGACGAGGGTTCCAAATGTATCTCCAAATGTATCTTTCTAGCCCAACCGATTGTTAAGGGGCCGTAGTGAGACCTGGAAACGCGAAGCACAGGGCGACAGAGAGGCCCGATTGACTGTTCCTTCGTTGCTGAGGAAGTGGTATCAGCTCTTTCCCTCCAGGCGGGGGCTCTGCTTGTAGTGGGCGGTAATACGTAACGCGCCCTCAACGGGATTGCGATCGACGAACGTGATGAGGTGGCTTAGCAAAACAATCTGCGGGTCAAGCTGCTTCGAAATCTCGCAAAAGCCGGTCTGGTTTCCGCGGACATACAAAACACAGCCACCGCGAAACCACTAGCAGCGTCCGGGGAGGGAAGAGAGGTCCAGGTCGTGGCTTTTCACATCCAAGCGAAAGTGAATTGTAAGCCCAATGAACAGTCTTTGGGGACGAGCGGGGTCATCTAGGGGTATGCGAGGGTACGGTCCGAAACGCGTGTAGCTCTTAGTTTGGGCTTTGGTTATAAGTAACAAGAGCGTCGTTCACCGGGTTGAGACCACTCACGTTTGTGGTGGCATCCTTGCAAGCCCCTTTCAACAGGAGGAGCTCGACGACTGCCGTGCGGCCGTTCCGGGCAGCGGCATGGAGCGGAGTGTGGGCGTACTGCACCCGAAAGAATGCGACGAATGAGCTGTGAAGGAGTGGCGGAAAATCGCATAGGAGCAGCGGGTGCGCTCCGCCTGTGACGTAAGAAGGCAGCGATGAGGGGCTAGCGCAGCGGTGTGCGGAAGTATCAAGTCGTCCTTGGACACTGCACGAACGTCAGGGCCAACGTCGAGACTGTGGTCGAGGATTGCATAAAACTCAAGAAAGTTAAGAATACGCCGAGATTATGAAAAGATCTGACTAACACTAAAACCCCTAACCCAGAAACATGCCTGTTCTGCACCCGTACCCCCTAACCACCAAACTAACCCTACCCGTCCCAGTGCGGTTACCTGTATTATTATCTCCACTTATTCTCATGTCCCTTGGGTTCAATGAGGAATGCCAACAGACCAGGGCCGTACTTGGCAGCAAGAGTGGACTGCAGTGTGCTCGTGGGAGGAGCGTGCAGTGCGTGATGTGCTGACGTACCGTGACAGCAGCCCAGAAAAGGAAGGTTAACAGCCCTAGAACCCACTTGTAACCTCGCTCAACCAAGAGATTGATGCAACCAATACAAACTGGTGAGAGCAGTCGTGAGTGAGGGGACGTGAGTGGGCCGTGAGGCTTTACTGTGAGGGGTGCGGTGAACAGGACTCGTGACGAGGCTTCGATTTCTCGGCCCCACGAGAAGAGCCTTCGCCGAGTGGGGGGGCGCTGCAGTAAAGGCAGGCGAGTGCACGCTTTGTTTCGGGAGTATGCGGTCCTGTCAATCCGACAGTAGCATCCGCCTGGAGATGCAGGTGCTCAAATTCTAAGCATGGCCGTCTCTGCTGAGGTGAAGAATGTACTGAGTGGGGGTTGTTTAGCTCTGGTCTAATTAAGTGGAAAAGATGTGGATCAAGAACCGCGCTCTGCGATAATTAGATTGACGAAAGAGAAGATTGACCAGTTCTTGATCTGCTCTCGAACACCTCTGACTTTTCGGATACGAAGCAGGATCCCATCTAAGCTGTGAACCAACATAAATAACAAAATAAAGATAGCAACCTCTGGGTTCTCCGGCTGTTGGAACGCAGTTGACATTTAGCAGAACGGGTCAGGCAAAGCCGCACACCGGTCCGTCTGCGAGCAAACGCTTACGTCCGTCTTGCTTTCGATGTCCGCCTCGTGCTGCAACAGCAACTCCACCGTCCCCGTCTGCCCGTTCTCCGCCGCGATGTGCAGCGGCGTCTGACCACCCTGCAAACAGAAATGGAGAAGTCGAAATTGAAGCCAGTTTCGTCCACATCAGGCGGAGACTCACGGGAAACTGTCCTAACGCTTCTCACATCCAGGAATTGATAGCTTCCCGTTCGACGTTCAATTATTCTGTTTCGCCTTCGACGTTGGCTTCTCAACACCTGCGCCTCGAGCGAGATGCAGATTTCAGGACAATGGGTGCGATTGAGCTGCAGAGAAGCAAGTCTGAAGGCGGAGAGACGGAAGCTACGGGGTAAAGCTGTTTGATGTTATCAAAGGGTCAAAAGAGGACCTTTATGACTGTTGCGCACGTTCAACTGACTTCAACGGACGGGAAAGGTACATATTCATTTTTCTACAAAGCAGATGCGGAACCGCAGACGAGCACGTTGCGAAACATTCTCTCCAACCATGGACGAGTCTCCATCATGGTCCGAGACACCACTTCAACGACAGCCGGTACCAAAATCACAACCACTCGACTTTTTGAAAGGAAGAAAATGTCAGGTCAGTCCTTTAATCAAAGCAGATGCTCGAACGCCGCACATACTGTAAAACCGAATGGCCCTAAAAACCTCCACCTTGTCGCGGGCCTCCTTGTCAGCCCCACTGCTCCGGTCACGCGCGCTAAAGCCCCTGAAATTCTACAACCCTGCAATTCTGCATTTCCGTACCTTGTCGCGGGCCTCCTTGTCGGTCCCCACTGCTCTGGTCACACACGCTAGAATCCCTAGAACTCTACAACCTTAGAACCCTAAATCTCTACAACCCTAGAACCCTAAACCCCGCACCTTGTCACGCGCCTCCTTGTCGGCCCCGCTCCGCAGCAGCAGGTCCACGGTGGCCGCCCGCCCGTTCTCGCACGCGCCGTGCAGCGCGGTCAGCCCGCCGTCGTCCTGCGCCTCCTTGTCCGCGCCGTGCCGCAGCAGAATGGACACCGTCGACGTCTGGCCCAGCGCGGCCGCCAGGTGGAGGGGGGTCTGGCCCAGCTGGTTTTAGGGGGGGGGGAGGCGAGGTTGTCAGTCTTGGAAAAGCGGAGAATACTTCCTCAAAGGATCGAAGAAAGGTGGGATTTGCACCGTCGACGTTTGGCCCAGCGCGGCCGTTAGGTGCAGGGGGGTCTGGCCCAGTTGGAGTTTTCGGGGGGGGAGAGAGGCGAGTTTGTTAGTCTCGAACAAGAACCTATTCTGCTGGTGATCATTTGAATGTAAAGAGAGCTGACCAAAGAAGCACAGCGCGGTCGCAAGGTACAAAGCGGGGGGCTGGAGTGGGACGAAGCGAGAAGCGAGACTGTCAGGGGAGAGTAGGGAAGACCGTGCTAATCCCTTATTGAGTAGGAAAAAGAAAACAGTATCCATGATTGGAGTTAGAATCGACGAGCAAAGAGGAGGTTCGGAGCGCAGGCTAAAAAAAGACGACGAAGGGACAATGAATCTTCTTCTGTCAGAATACCGAAAAGGAAAAAGGCAAGACTTTTAGTAGACTCAAATGCCGCTGAACTGTTCAGGAGTCTTAGAGGGGAACAATCAGCAGGCTGCTTGCGGGGAAGGACGTGGGTCGCTTCAAAAAGCACGTTCGAAGCAGTCGGCTCAATCAAGTTCGCTAGGTAATGTTGACAAGCCTTTTAGAAAGCTTGGAAAGGGAGTGCTCTGTCTCCGAAGCACTCGTTCCTCAGCAATCACATGAGATAGAGTTGGGTAGATTATTGTGCCGGTAATCATGAAGAGCGGATTTGCGCACTCACGTTAGTGATCGAGTTCACGTCGGCTCCGTTCCTGAGAAGGACGTCGACCGTCGCGGAGCGCCCATGGCCGGCTGCCACGTGGAGGGGCGTCTGGTAAAACTGCAGCATAACAGGTGTGACGTCACGTTTCACCCAATGCGTTTCTCGCTCGTGCAGATTGCGACGACCAACAGCAAAGCTGGAGTAGCATATTACACGGCCAAGCCGTTTCTAACTCGTGTACGCGAGCCCATTGAAAAGGTTTCGCAGATCACAGACGGTCGAACGCACACAGCAGGGACAGCGAAAAGTGTTTTCGTCCTAGGCTCGGCAAGCTCGACAAATCCCTAGTCCCTAGTATTAAATCCTGCGAATGACGAGCGCTATGTTTTCGAAATCCAGATTCTCGAGAAGGAGCGGAGAAAGTGAGCCTTACGTCCGTCCTGGCCTCCTTATCTGCTCCCAGTTTGATGAGCAGAGCAACGGTTGCCGTCTGCCCGTTAGAGGCGGCGAAGTGGAGCGGCGTCAAACCACCCTGCGACGGAAAGCGCTGAGTGATGAGAAAGATGGGCCACGAATTTTGAGGACTTGCCCGTTATACAAGCAGAAGAGGACCTGCGTCTTATCAGTCTACTGAACAGGCTCACCAAGTTTTATCCTCCTTGAAGCAAATATTCAAGATCATTCTTGTGGAAGTATGTTTCTCGAAGCCTTGCTAGCGCTCATGTAGGTCCAACAACAAACTGTTATGGGCTTGCACTTGAGCGACACACATAAGCGACTTGCAATCTCGATGCGCAAGCGTAGAAAATCCACGACGTCACCCCACGGGCTAGCTGCTGTGCATCAACTCACGTCGTCTCGAACCTCCAGCTGCGCTCCCGCTCTGACGAGCAGGTCAACGGTGGCAGTCCGCCCCTGGCCGCTGGCAACGTGAAGGGCAGTTTGGCCCCCCTGAAAAGACAGAGGGCTTCGATTTAAGAGCAGACGTTCGCATCCGCTCTTTTTTGCTTGTGAGTAGAGTACACGACAGATTGGTTCGATTCCGAATCAAATGCAAGCAGACAGCTTCACACCTAGATGTCAACTTATTTGATTGATTGCTATGCTGTGCACACAGCCACGGCATCCTATCTGCGTACAAACAATTCTCCCAGGAACTGTCAGGCATCAGCCACGAAGCGAGTCCTTCCAATTGAAGTAAGCATCCGATGTTTTTGCAGGGTGTGTTTTAGGAAAAAGGACCAGGTTTTCAAGGGAGGGGCTTGGCAAACTCGTACCAACTTAGAGGGACTTCTGCAATAACACAGACTTGGAAAACCAGAAAAGGCTTTTCAGGGGGGTCTTACCAACTCGTGGCTGACAGCGTCAACGTTCTCCCGGGCCTCGAGCCTCCGGCGGACGGCTCCCACGTCCCCAGCGCTGGCGTCCGAGTGCATTGTCGCTCCCTCAACGGGCACCATCTCGACGGCCGCCTTTGGTGCCCTCCTCTGCTCGCCCGCCTAGAAAATCGCAAACGCAAACCTTAACCAAAGCTCGTAAGTGTCTAAGTTCAATGGAGTCAGTGTTAATAACACCTGCTTAGTGTTTGGGTGAATGTCCAGTCGTCCCTGTCGGCCCTTGGTGCTTCTGTCTGCTCTCACCTCTGAGAAACTAATGTCAGACTTACTCAACGGTACACAGGAGCCCCTTGCAGAAAGACTGGTCGAAGTCGACAGTTCATCATGATCAGGAGACGAAGCTCAATGCGCCAGGCAGGAATTATTCCCTCTGAACGAACTTGGCACGAGATGCTATCAAAAGGTAGCCACACACTTCGCAGGTAGCTTGGTGAAACCTCATCATATCGAAGACGAATGAAGGTCATTGCTCGAAACCCCCTGTTGTCAGATTTTACGGGGGCTTTCCCAGGGGCAGTATGAAACCTCACCTGCAGCGACTCCCTTCGGCTTTCAACAACACAGTGCGTTCTTGAGGCCGCAGCAACACGTGCCCGATCCTCTGCGCTCAACACCTGGAACGCCTGCACGAACGCTGATGCTGGGTCGAGGGCCGCAGGGCGCTTTACCAACGACGCATCCTGCGGTAACAGGAGACGCACTTTGAGGATTAGTCACTGCTTCGTAGGTCTGATGCTTAACCAAATCACAGCTGTACAAGGGGTTTCATTTGCCACCTGGCTGTTATCAGGTGCAAAAACAACTCGATTTGAGAGAGGAGAATTGGAAATACACCTTCTCAAAGGCTGGGCTGATAAGAGTTCTAATTGATGTGCTTTCAAGCAGCTTGGAGAACTTGTTGGGAATCAGCTTGGGCTCATCATGGGAGTACATCCTTTGCTTAAGCCTGCCTTCCATCGAATCTTGGTGGACACAGGCTTCTCAAGTGTTAGAGGCTCAGACACGCTGTAGGTGACAGTATACATTCGCACGCAGACCGCATTGCTTTTCCGTCTTGAAAGTCCTAATCCACAATAGCTTAGACATGTGGAATCATCCCTGGCAACTCAATCAGTCTTCCTGTTAGGAAAAGAAGGAGGAGGACAACACTCAAAAGAAGCCGGAAAGTGACAAAGCGTCGCTCTTCAAACCTGCTGCGGTGCCGGCTTGGTTATCGGTTTCATTGATGGCGGGGGAGGCTCCCCATTCACCGAGTCCCCATCGTCAAGGTCACCGTCAGTGTCGAGGCTGGTTGTGGAAGGAAGATACTCGGCCCAGTGCCGCGCTTTCTGCCTGTCGCCTGTGCCCTTTCTGATTTCAGCCCCCTGTGTGGGAACTAGAGGCTCGGACTCGAGCCCCTTGGGTTGCCAGGCCGGTGGCCATTCCTGCTGCTTGGCCTGCATCCCTGTCGTGGTTTGATGGAAGCAGCGGCGGAGGCCCTGCTTGAAGGTTTTGAATGGGCCAGCGGGTCAGAAACTGCAGAAAAAGTTCGTAGAGGAGGGTAAAGATTGGAGTTCTAGAATCCAACAAGTGGGAGATCGAGAGATTAAAGCCAAGGAGGACGTGCCACCTTGCGAGGCAGATGATTTGCTACAAATTGCTGGAACATCTGGGGGAGAAATAGTTGGGGACAGATGTGACCAGCGTCGTAATTCAGCTTCACAACACAGAGGGATTGAAACGATGAGGTGCCTTTTCGATCTTTGGTCGGAAGAGGCTAAGGAGGGGTCTGTAAAGCAGATTGTAAGGTGGCGTATGTGGCCAGAACCTTGTGATCCACATCGATGGTTCAAAGGGGAACGATGCAGGTGACGAGACTGCGTTACTCTGGTGCTTCTGATCTCTTCTGCTCTTTTCCATCCGTCGTGCATTCACGTGCATGAAACAACTGAAAGTACTAGCAATATAAGGTAAATGGGAAATAAAGAGTGAAAGCACTCGTAAGAGGTCTTTATTCCCTTCGAATGAATCGCAAAAGATTTGACGGCGGCTACCCTGTTGAATGTTCTGGCATGTGTTCATCAGAGGTACTGGCCCGACAGCCATCTGAGCATGTTCCGCAGAAGCTTTGCAAAGCCCTTTAGAAAGACAATCAAGTGCTGTGCTGGTGGTATACTTGTAACTCCGTCGTTCCACTGATCTGAGCGACACTGTGTTGAGCTCCTCTTTGAAAGTCATTCTAAGAGACCCCTGTCATTCACCCCCATTCCACCTTTGCTTGACTGAAGATGAGGGGCTGAGCTGACAAGCAACCTTTCCAGATGGCATTGATCACCACTGAACTAAATGAGCAGACTTGACAGCGACTTGAGAACGTAGCTCAGTGCGGTCGCCCATTTCGACGGAAGTTAGTCGGTTTGATACCCATAGATAAACTGATGAAAATATCAGCTCACCTTATGTTGCAGCACTGTTGGCAAAACCCTTCAAACGATCTCAAGTGCGTGCGTGTAGCTGCACCACTGTTTGCGCTCTGAAACCCAGAGTTCTCTCTAACATCCACGGTGGCGGCTAAACAATGCCGAAGTCCCAACAAAACTCTCACTGTCAGCTGGAGGCTGGAGCTGGATTGTGCAAGAAACCCTGCGTTTTGCTCCTGTGAAAGCGACCCTGGCCACGGTCACCATGCATTCTAGGTGCAGCGCTAGAAGCCGACTCTGGCTGTGGTGCTCGTAGGCTGTCGTAGCTCATCACAAATGATCTGTCGATTTCGAACTTTGGGGCGAAAAATAGCAGGTTCCGTTATTTTAGCGCGCCAAATCAGCTCGAAGCCCGGTGGAAGTAACCCGGACCTTATCGCCCCACGATTCGAGAGCCCGGGCCTCGGTTTGACATGGCGACTTTGCCGGGAGAAATGTGCTGAAAATAGACGACTCCCACCCGTTGGTCTTTGAGATCCGGTTTCATCGACGGTCGCTGGCTTGCAATGACGTGGCAAGAAGCTGAGTGTTCAGCTGGATACGTCATGACGGACCCGCGACACCGTCGATAAGATTGGAACAAGTTTGAACCATCGATTTTTACAATCGCATTCTGACTGCAGCGCGCGCAGCCCCCGGGCCGGGCCGCCGCCGCCGGCGGCCGCCCAACTTATGCGCGGCTGGGCCGTGCGCCATGGAAGCCTAGCGAGCGCTCAATGCAGGTGAATTTCCTTCCTGCTTAGCTCTTCTTGTGGAGGCTGTGTTGAGTGACTATCTATTAGAGATGCAGCTCAAGCGTCAGCTTCAACAGGAGAGGTGGCGGCCAGATCTCTTGCACAATTTGAAGGGCAAGGGATCCCCCATTTCGTGTTGGTTCTAGCTGCCGATCCCAGTCACGGTGTAATCTCTTTTAAAGTATTCTGTGCTCACTCACAACCTGCCATTGGCGGGCCAGTGGCTCTGTACGTGTGCCATCATGGTTGGAACAAGGGCCAATGATGAGATGCAGGCTGGTACTGCAGATGTTTTGGCCACACCACCTTTCAATTCAGAGGCCCTAGGTCCAAAAGAGACCAATATGGCTGGAGACTGCCTGCTGGTGCTGATGAAAGGGCATCCTGGTACAGGTGACTACCTCACCTTATTCCAGTTGTTTCTCAGGAATCTTCTTGAGAAAGATCACTGTGGTGGTATAAAGTCCACATGATAATCTTCCTGCCCTTCTCTTCCTCCAAAGCTGAAGTGTCAAAAGATCCAGTCACTCAGCTTTCTCTAGCCTCAAGTTACTGTGACCATTATGGACCTGAAATCTGCGCTGCAGATTGCAGGGAAGAGCACGCTGGCTAGAGCCCTTGCGCGCGCACTGTGCTGCCCCCTGATCGACAAGGTCAGTACGCCTACCTTGTCCATTCCGCTCACCAACTTGCGTGCTTGTACACCAAAACTTGCGCATTAAAGTTCTGGTGTCTAGCTGGGGCACCAGATCAAGTTTCAGTCAACAAGTTAGGAAGGAAAGACGGGTTTTGGTATCAAGCAAGCTGTCAAATGCCGCCTGAGGATCCGCAATTGCGATACCTCCAATTAATATGACCTTAAGAATCAAGAGTAATAAGGATCTTAAGTATTGAAAGTACTGAGTACTTTGGTTTGACCAACACTAAAACTCGAAGGACAAATTGACTTGCTCCGCACCCGAACCCACCCTAGCCACCAAACTAACCGCACCTGTCCTCCTGTACCTTAAGTTCCTTGTTACGATTTAAGTTTATCTCTATCAATTGATGGCTTACTCGGTCCTACAGACCCACAAATCTGCGTCTTATGCGTACAGGACGATGTACGGGACTGCACAATGCACTTGGAAGCATTGGAAGACGCCTCTTCCAGCACCAGCAACCCTCCAAGATCTGGTGATATCCCTGCGACCATTCTGAACGACCTCTCTTACCAAGTCATGTGGAGGATAGCCGCCACTCAAGTGAGAGCCCCTCATACCTGTGTCTTCTCATTGACGTAGACTTCCATAAGAAAGCTGCGAGTGCCACTTGGGAAATTGCAAGCTGCGGCAGGTATGGAGGTTTGCAAGTCGTTGGCAGATCTCTTGAAGGGACCTGTAACTTTATGCTTTCAGAACTTTCGAAAGCGTGGTGAGACTGCACTTGGGCTGTTCACATTATCAGCGAGGGTCCGTTCGCCAACTTTTCTGACCCGTTCAAGAACGTTTGAGCTGAAAGCCCCTGGTCATACAGAGAACCAGCTTGACGGATGACAAAATACTATGGTTGACCAGAAATGGTTTTTCTTCCTTGAGCCCCTCTTGTCGGAGCCGCAGGTTATGATCTCTGCCACAGAATGAGTATTTGGGTGTGGAGATTGGTAACCACCGGCCTTGCAGGCGAGCGCTGCTAGGGCATTGTCAGTTCAGCCCCCAAATGAAACAAGTCCTTCCGGAAGCATTTGATCATGTGACTTTCATCCACTGGCCAGTCCTGATTGCTTCTGGACCTTCTCTTGCAGCTTAGCCTGGGTCTCACTGTGATCGTCGACTCTCCCCTCTCCTCGTTACAACGATTTCAGGAGGCCGAGCAGGTAAGCTGAAGGGTACTGCAGGCTTCAATCGAACCTTGCTCAAACCAGAGTACATTTGTTGGAGTAGAGAACTCAGCCACAGAACGAAAGGGCACATCAATCCAACGGGGCCCAAGTCGGTAATCATAATAAGGCTTTTGAATGATGGGTTCTGCGCTTCAGAGTTGTCCCAACAGATTGCGTAGCACATGAGAAACGACCCTGACTCGAGCCACCACCTTTGACCAACTGTGCCGTACGCTTGCGTCGGCTCACAATTGGAGGGCGGAGTCGTTCTGGAAAGCGTAACCACGTTGGAGCGTGGGGCGAGTAATGTTTTTGAAAATGGGGGCGATAACAAATCAGAGGATTTCACACACGACAGCAATCAAAGTCCTGCTCCACTTCTGCAGAGTGCTGCCGCCACTGGGGCCAGGATTCTCGTCATCGAATGCGCGCCATCCAAAGAAGGTGGGTTTACACTTGTCATTCTTGGGTCACAGTCAACGGTTCGGCTCCTTCCTTGTAATCGCCGGGCCCTTGAAAATCGTCTGTAGTTATGTACCACGTAGAACGAGGAGTGGCCAACTTCATCTGTCGAACGATTGGCTGGTTTCGAACGGACAGGCTTCCGGTCAACCTGCATCAACGTGCAAATGGTATTCCCATTCAGTCACCACTCAAAATGACCATTCCGAATCGTTAAAACGTTGAATCGAAGGCGGCAAGAGAGGCCACTCCACGCGTCGAGCTGACTCGGGCTGAGAAAGCTTGTTGAGTGTCACGTTTCAAACAAGTCAGCTCCATTCGTTCCTCAAGCCGTGCTCTAAAATTCGCATCATCACAATTGTTATCCGGGCGTCTCAGGCCGCTGATTTTGTTGATGTACGGTTTCTTAAGGCGAATCTCTTGAGAGATTGTCCCCAATCCTCTCCCCGACGATTTCTCGTTTCCCGTACTCAAACTCAGTAGATATTTTTCTGCCCTGCGCTTCTTCCTGCTCGCTTCTTCCTACTCCCATGGGCGGAGTTGTATCCATGTGAAACTAGAATTAGAAATTTCGACGATGGTTCTGAAGCCTTTCATCAAGGATGGCAAATGGCCGACGAAGTCCGAGAAGAAGCTTGCTGTGTTTCTGCAGAGGTCTGGAAAGAAAGAGTAGAGAGAAGAGCCGCTGCGGCGGCCCAGTCAGCGTCCTCTTCGGGTTGGCACAAGCCGTCAACTTGGGCAGACATCGAAGTGTTGATGAGCAGGTTGGTGTCATTCAGCTATGTTTCCGTGTCGTTTTAGTTTTGCGATAAGTGGCTCGGATGTTCGAAGGTGTTATGCTGAGGGAAAAATCATTTGGCGTGGTATGTGGGCTCGAGGAGTGCTTCGTCCAAATCTTGTTGCTATGTTGAAGGCCTTGTCGGTTTAGTGATCCAAGAACCTTGGAACATAGATGGAGCCACCTCTTCTAAGTGCCTCGTGATTGCACAGATCCCAGCATCTTTTGGAAGGGTTGCGGATCAGACAAAGCGGCTTCCTGAAAATTTGACTCTCGACCCGCCCGACGCATGACATGGACGGGGTTCAGCAAGCGACGTTCTGGTTCCGAGTCGGGTAATGCTACATAACCATGCGATTCGTTGCAGGTACCAAGGCTGTTGGAACTATGACGTTGGCCTTAACCCAAAACTGACGTTGGACACGGGTGATTTTGTGATATCTCCAGAGCAGCTGCTTACGCAAGCATTGGACTTTGTACGAACATATGCAGCCAAGAGTTGATGAGTCCTCGCTTCTACCTTTCTAGATCTCTCTACTTACATGCTTGTCATGTTTGGCATTGCTGATACGCTGCTTAGGGTGTTATTTTTACCATGCATGCAAGACCGGGTGCAGCCAGATCATAACATCCGCGCTTTGCAACCACTGATGGCGCTACATGACATGACTCCCATTGTAATGTTGTATGCACATCGATATCGCGCTTTTATGCCACCAATTCAAAACTCCAAATGTTCGCAGCTCTACATTATTGCGCTGTAATGATCGAGTTGATTGTGTGCAATGTCCATGTCGCAAGCCAGTTCGTTGCATGGCAATCTCATGTGAGGGCCCGGCGCGTGGCGCCATATACACAATACACTACACTACCGGCCTATCTATAACGGATTGAACAGTCTAGAAACACCGGCAGCTATATATATATATAGACACGTACATACGGTGCACATGATATACGAACATTAGTGCCGATTGCAGAGCATTCTGATATACCTATACTCTAATATATGCGACATGGAAAATTCAATTCCATATGTAATATACAGTCTTTCAAAATCCTGGTGCATGGCTGCGAATCTGGAGCAAGTACATGACCAGTAAACAATTTTATGGCCTCAATGAAACAGGCAAACGGAGGCAGAGACATGTGCAAACACTGGCTTGACCACAGGACAGGCAGGCCCTCGAACAATCACACGGTAATGCTGGAACGTGTCGGAACAATGTTCGACAAGTCTGCTCCGCAGCTATGATATGAGCTTCTTTCAGAATGGGAAAGGAAGGTTGTGCTCCTGTATGTATCTTAGCAGGATGATAAAGAATGATATCTGAAGTGAAAGGGTCCTCAAAAGCAAAGGTCCACTTTCAAAACCGTTCCGCAAGGTTGGCAGCTGTGTATGGTGGTATGCCCTTTGCTAACTACATGGCCCCTTCCTTGGTATGTCTCCATGAACTACACTCAAGCAAGCATGTCTTGTGTTCAAGAGACGGGGTAGATATAGAAGGGATTCAAATCACACCGAAAGAACTTGTTTATCAATGTGTCAGCTTGTCGAACCCGCTTCCTCTTTGGGCTTTTCGAACTGTGCCTTTATCCAAGGGAATGGCTGCAACGACAGAGAGATGAGGATTCAGGACCCCCCAAGAGACATTCCGTCTGAAATACTTTGTCGGGATCTACGAAACCTCCCCTAGTGAGCAGCCAATCCCCCATAAGTAGAGCAGGTGGCGTGCATCAACAACGAGTGGTTGCACCTCAATCTATAAATGCTGACACTCATGTTGGCCCACCAATGCTCAGGATCTTGCACAGATCAAACTTGTGGCCGAATGGACGATTGACACCGATTCTACGTTGCTGCTGTGCGCAGCGGACCTCAGCTCTCTTCATCAATGTCAAGCTTCGTACTTTCGGTAGGACACAGAAAAAGTGTGTTGCACTTAAGAACATACCAGTTGGCAATTGCAAGCTGAGAGGCTCCTTGCGCATGCGAAAAGCTTAAGAGGCTCCTTATACTCATCAGGTGGCATGAGAGATGCCAAGGTGCAGGCCTGCCGGAGGAGAGCAATTGAGCTCCTTCCGGTACACAATGCAATGAATTTCATTTGGTTGGCTCGGTGGGTAATAAGTAGACCAGAGCTTTTTTAAGCGATTGCATCAGCCATATGTGTTCTGAATATTAGATCACCAGTATGGACTGCCTCGAAACTCCCAGAAGCGCAGCCAGGAAGCAATCCATGCTTTTGCAAGGACCACTCATCAAAGTCCAATTCATGCATCAGTTGCCACCCAGGACTGAAAAAGATCACCAACTACAAACACTTGCATTGCTCTTATGCTTGGTGAAGCTCACCTGGATCAGCCAGAGTGCTGCTAAACCAGCAGTCACGCCCCATCCCACCGCTGCCTTAAAGTCGGTGTTTTGCGGCCGGATTTGGTGGACAAGTTTCAGAATTGGAGCCGTCGGCATGTCTGCGTGCGTCTCTTCTCCGCGTATCCTTTAGCAGCAGACTTCTTGCAAAGAACAGCTTGATCGGGGTTGTTCCTCAGCCAATCGTGGACAATGAAGTGACAGCCCTCAACTTCACGTCCAGCAGAAACGCAGCGCCCAAGCTGTTTTCCTGATCAGAATCAAGTTCTGTCACCTGAGCTCAAGAGGATAATCTTCGAGTATTATGATAATATTAAGACTCAGACGCCCTTTTTCACCGCCAGAATATATGCATGTTTTGAATGCATTTGAGGCCTTGTTTTGAGAGCGTTAATAAAATAGGTATATCGAAAAGAGCCCTACCGATACTGCAAATGCAAGCCGTTAAAAACCATTGTCTAGATTCGCAATCCGATACTCTGCAAGAACCGTTCAAATATGGCAGATTGTTGGTGCTTCCATTTGTCTGGACTGGCAACTATTGCTTCTCATGCAGCCTGCTTGAAGTTGCAGCTTCAAGTTCAAGCTCAGCATTGACAACAACGTCCAAGACAAAACAGTTGAAGCCAGGCGCCTTCCTCCATTCTTCGCGGATCGCATCTCATTCTCTGCGCAGCGGCTCTCTCCTCGTGGGATCCCCCATTGTGCTTGAAGCCACCAATCAGAAACGTTTCTGCAGCAGGCGCAACTGACAGCGACTCTCGAAAAATGTCGTCAACCGAAGGCAGGGGCGAGATATACTTTGAAGACATTTTCACTGTCACGAAGAAGGATCCAGACGGGCGAAAATTTGACAGAGGTTTGTGCATAGCATCTCTATGTATCTTTAGCTTGCAAAGGCTGGTTCCTGGTGCCATGCTGCTCTTCTTTACGTCAATGTTTGTGTAGGGTAGCTGAGCGGAGCCCTCTAGAGCTCGTTAAATATCTAGGTGGTGTGGCAGAAGTGCAAACCTGTGGGCAGAGTAAGATCATGCACGATTGTCAAAGGGCACCCTGTCTACATTGGGCCGCCCACTTTTTGATATGGACGGACTCCTGAGTCAGATAGAGACTCTATAAATGCTGCAACAAGCATGAGTGTGTCTGATGGTGGGTGGTGCAAAAGATTACTACCACGGTGGGTGGTACAGCTTTACGCCAAGAACTGTGTCTGTCCGGTGGACTTTGGGGAACGCAGAGGTTTTTCTGGCCGCTGCTACAATGCAAAATGCTGTTGTAATTGGTTTGCTCAGACCACATCCTTGTGCAAATACCTGAATTGCAGTTCATGCATCCAGTTTCCAGGTTGATCGGCGTCGGGGAACAGTTCGAGATGGACTTGATACTGGACGTCAACACGTTCCTGTACCCGCTGAATAAGGATGATAAGTTCACCCTGGCGCTGGCGCCCAAACTGAGCCTGCGGGAAGGCGTCCAGGACAGCGCATACTTTGACCAAGTGAGCCTGCCTCTTTCCCAAAGGCCTTGTTTTCTCTTCTCAATGAGAGCAAGCTGGTGGTTTGTCAACCCACGGGGTGGCAACCTCTACTTGTTTCAGAGTCTTGGTCTCTTTAGAGAGGTTTAGAGGAATCGCCTGTGTATTTTCAAGGAACACGTGTTATGATCTCTTCAAGACCTTTGTGGCCTAATAACACGAGGGCGCGTGTGATATTCATAGTAAATGTGTGTCTCCATTCCTCTAACTTCTACCGGCCCTATAGCACACCCTGTCAGATATGCATCCAACAGGAGCTATTGGCATCATCTTCCGACGCGTTGCTTGAGATTGTGTCAGATGGCAGCTTGCTGGCAGAGACCGTCCCACTGAGGCGCGAAACGTTTGACACAGAGTGGGGAGCCTAATCTAGCCGACAAGTACGAGTACGTCATGCACGGCAAGCTCTACAAGTATGCAGTGGAGGAAAGAAGCAAAAAAGGGTGAGTGCACCGCCCATTGCTCTACGATACTGAATCAGTGAATGAGAGTTTCCTAGCTGCGGGTTTGCGGGGTCCGCTAGTAGAATGCGAATGGTCACGTTCACCTAGTGAACAATCTCTTGTGTTAAGACCGTGCGCCCTGCTGTTAGTCCTTGTAAGGCAGATTGAAAGTTGTTGCTGTCAGCATCTTTCAGGCGCATTGTCTCGGCCAGGGCTCAGATTTCACTTTGCCAATGCAGGGAGATATACATCTCGTTTGGAGGCCTCCTCATGATGCTTCGAGGAGACCCTGAGCAACTACAAAAGCTAGAACAAGATCAAAGACTGTACCTTCTAATAAGGAAAGTCAGCTGATTTTGGGTGATTTCATCGACTTTTTAAAAGTACTTTTTCGATTGAACGGGGTGACACACAGTATACAGAAAGTTTGCACTGGCTTTATGGTCCGGTCTCCATTCAATAAGCAGCTGCTGCCCGCACATCAAGTCCAAGTTGAATCGATGTTGGATGGAGCTTTGGCAGATCCTTGAGTCTTCTATGGCATGCTTCTGTTGCGGCCAGAATGAATGAGCGCGGCAGTGCAATGATGTTCGTAGTTTGCTATTGGATCCGGCCCTGGCTGGACGGTTGCAATCGCGACTAATTGTCGAGCATGCAATTATAAGCTGTAGAGCTTGCACAATATCATCGCCACTCGAACTTAGTGCGGCGCGTTGCATGCATAAGACGCCCATGTGCAGGGACAGTTTTACATGATTATATGTCATTGAGAACATGAAGGCTAGGTTCAATCAAGCTTTATCGCAAGTGACGTACCTCCCCTGCGCCACCAACTCATTAATTCAATATCAGATCGAGCTGTACTTATAATACGAGCATGGCAGAATCATTATATCATGACATATATGTAGCTGTGATTTAACTCGTCAAAGGAGTATCATCGCGTATGCCGTGGCATGCAAGGTATAGTTACTCTGCAGAACGATTGCATGCTGGGCCCGGCGCGCGCGGATCGATCAATCCTAGCTACAGTTGAGTTGGGCATGCGCTTTATGCGAATGTGTATACCGTACAGCGCCCGGGCCTGGCGGCGAGCGCGAATCCGAAATGAATGCTTTCCGTAGCAATTTTCGGTTAAGTATGACAAGCGCTAGGCCGCCTCGCCGGCCCATGCAGCAGCTTGCTAAAAAGGCGTCCATGTCGGGCGTGCCGTTTGCACCTCTGCAGCGCCACACAAAGGTGTGTTGAGCAACCAAAGATTCAAGCGGCTCGCTCTTGGCATCATGTTCATGCACAGGTACGCGACTGCACAGTCCAATGTGCAGATTGTGGGCGGCCACTTATGATGATTGATTGGTTAGCAGTAGGCACAAACCAATCACAGTGAGCTTATGCCACTCAATATCGAGAGGAAACTATCCACGTGAGCGATTGCATGAGCAGCTGACTCAGCGTGATAAATCTGCACCGCCCTCGGCTTGATCACCTGACGAACAGTCAGAAGTCGAGAACCGACGGGGCGTTTTTGGGCCCCACACATGCGACCGCTGAAACGGCCGCTCGACTGCCGCCGGCACCAGCCTCTTGCACATCATCATCGAAGGCGGGAGCAATATGCATCTTTTCTAGCGTCAGTCGTTTCCGCCGAACGATGCTGACTGCCACACTGGTCGCTTCAGGAATGAACGGCACCTGCGAGATGCCGAAAGAAACCGAGGTTCCTGCCCGTGGTAAAAAGAGCACCGGCAATGTAGTCACATCAACCTACAAGCTGGGCCTTGCATACCCCCACAGAAGAACACTTTCGTACTTTCTCGTTATGATCTTAGCACTGGCAGTCTTTAATATCCGCCGTTTAAGGACATTACCAAAAAGACGCTCGAAAGAGGACAGAGGAACGACGAACGGCCGCTCCAAATCCTGGAGCGAAAAACAAGCCGGGCCATGTGTGTAACAGCGCCCATAACACGGCGTCCGAAGTGAAAGGTGAGCGGGAGAACTCAACCATCTTGAAAGAAGTCGGCCAGCGGACTAGCACAACACACTTTTGGAAAGTGAATCAGAGCAATATCCCTGCAATATACTTTTTCAAATGAGGCCCCTCCAATCAAAAGGACTGCCTCAAAGACAGAGTGATCCGAATAGAAAGCCCCATGAGGCTGTCGTCTCCGTTTCTCCGCTTCCACTAGCAGCAAAGGAGAGCACGAAAATGGAGGACACCGGCGGAGCGGGAACTGGACGAAGCTGCGCGTTTCTGAGCGCCAGTTTATGAAATGCAGCAAAAGAAGCACAAAAGAGGGGAGGGAGGCTGAACGCACCTGCGTGTTTACCAGCGCAAGTTTATGGACGTGAAGCAGCCCCTGGATCTCGCCGTAGTACGAAAACATCGCCGCCAGTTCCTTGTCGTCCTCATCGACCGCCTGCGTCTCTAGAACGGTGTCCGCCACGTGCTGCGCGCGCATCAGGAAGCCCGGGGGAAGTGACCCCGTGGGCAGCGTAACTAGAGCGACGGACGCCGGGTGTGTCCGGACGAGGCCCTTGAGGGAGCGCAGCAGGGCCAGGTATCGCCAGTCCTGCGCGAAGTTAGGTCTGCGATAAACCTGATTTCGGCGCAACTCACTGATTGAGTCAACTCGTCCGACTTGATCGGAAAGCCCGTTTAGCGTTCACCATTATGCAAGGGTAAAGTGTACCCGGTATCACGATTATTGGTGCGGTAGATGGGGAGGTTTGGGGTTTTCCAGATAAGTCCTTTAATGCCAGAGAACGCTCTCAACTAGAGGGCTTTCGTGCAGACAGATATGGAAGGTCCACGTGAAGGCAGCAAGAAACGTTCTGGAAGCAGAGGACGAGACCAGAAGGACGAACACGCGAAACGATTGGAGGGGAGGCAGAGTAAACAAACCGTCGCCCTTGCCTTCCCTGGACATCTCATGAAGCAGCTATCGCCCAAGCAGACCGCGGCAACCGAACGAGGCGATACAAGAAAACGGCCGGGCTTCTATAAACACCTTCTCGTCATCCCGTCAATCGGCACAGGCACACTCCGCAGCGGAAAAGAGAATCCGCGCTCTTCTCACCTCAGCCGGATCCTCCCAGGGTATCTGTCCAAGGCCGTGCACGACAATCCTGCCCACATCCCGGTTGGGCCTTAGCCGCTCCACGAAGTCTTGACACTGCGCGTGGAGTGCGGGCAGGTCTGCTATGCTGTGGTGGTGCACGGTGTCAAGCCGCAGCACTTCCTTCCCGAGCTGCTTTCGGAGGTCGAAGGAGGAGCAGAAGTCGAGGGGGGGGGGCGCCTCTGCGAATTCGAGAAAGGCTTCAGTCCCATTGCTGCCACTCAGTCTCTGGGGATTGTTGTCTTCGGAAGCGGTGTTCAAGCAATATGAGAAGGAACACCACCTTGAGTCGAACTTGGCTTCGAAGTTGGCGTGATGTAAAGGACGAAAGGGTGGCAGCTTCCCTTGCTTCGACTAAATCAGCGTCAGAGGGCATTCGAGCAATACTCGCGACTTGATGAAAAAGACAGATGCAGATGCGACACGGAAGGGACGACTACCGCCTGTGAACGTGGGTGGCGAGGACTGATTTTGAACGTGGGCCGGTGGTAATAATCAAAGTGACTTTGTTCTGAGAGGCTCTCGTCTAACGACCTGACTGCGAAAGACTATGATTCCTGACGAGACGCTTCCGTCCTCAGGCTGCCGTGACCAGCGAAAGAGGGATTCTTGTTTAAGAAACAATGCGTGTATCCATCTGCGGATCTTGACCAGTCGAACGATTGTAATGACCTCGATGAATTCATTGAAAATCCTAGAGGGGTAATCATCTTTTGAGAACGGGCCACAGATGGTGGTCTTCTTCGAGGTGACGGAGCAATACAGTATTTTCCACCTCTTGCCCACTCATTCAAGCAATCTGTCAGCCGCAACTCGCCTCATCATGTCCGACAAGAAATAAAATGCAAAGCGTTTCGGGAAAACCATCTTACCTGGCCTTGAGCTTGCTTTGAACGCCGAGCGCACAGTAGGCCGAGAGAAAGAGCTGTGAAGGGAAGGCATCGCCTCATCGGTGCTCGCGGTGGCCGACGCCGTTGCTTCCCGCTGCCGAGTGCGCCGCTCCTCAAGTGCCTTTTGCTCGTCCAGGTATCGTTGGTACTGCCAGGCAATACGCAGGCCTGACTGACCCTGGAAGTGACAAGCGGGTTCGGCAAACTCGGTTACGTCTGTAAGTGGCTCTGTTAGCGACGACCCTGGTTAAGCAAGAGGTCGAGGTTGGATTAGGTCCAAAAATGGATCTGCGAGACTGAGTACCTGGTCCTGACTGAGGGCCTCAGGCCCGTCGAAGGTTGTTGACGTGATTGGAAATGTCGGACTGTTACGGCGAACAGAATAAAATAGTAAGTTGAAAGCCTGTTTGCATTCGTACACAGGTGGTCTGCAATTACATCTGCAGGCCAATCACATCACATGACACTTTGATGCTGGAAGAGTGCATGGCCCCAATCGGTTGGATCACCAAATTGATCAATGCTTCAGCAGATTATGGCAGGAGCCCTGCGCCAATGATACTCATCTTTGCTGTGCGCTTGATTCACAGAACTCAATTGCATTACTCCATAGATGACTGAACAACAAGAAGAGAGTATAAAGCAAGTCTGAAATGTACAAGAAGGGTTGATGGAAGATCGCAACAGAAGCCCTCACCTCCTGGACCCCAGAAGCAGCAGGGGCTTCCTTTGCATCTTCTTCCCTTTTCTCTGTGACCACGGGAAGGCGGGTGAGAAAGTCTGCAGGCAGGGGGTGGGTACTTGCATATAGAAGAGGCTGGGCATGGGCCACTGCCTGCATTAGAGTTTTAGCATGATTGGTATGAACGTTTGGCGTTCCATCAAAGCTCCTTTATCAGTGGTCAGAAGCTCACTCATGTAAAGCAGTTTCAAGATGGCAAAGCCTTGCAGTACCAAGATCTGGGAAGTGCCAGGTCATCTTGTGGGGCAGAACCTGCTGCATTGTCACAGCATTGTCAAAATTCTGATAAGTAGAGAGGTTGGGTCTGGAGAGGGTCAGAAAACGGGGACATGAACTATCTTTGCCGGCAAGCTAGTGATAAAAGTAGAAGATTGTGAGCCAGTTCAAGCTACATATTGCCACATTGCTTTCACTTAGAGAACACTCCTTCCAGCCGATGGGGAGATGGTATAGATGTAGACAACAAGACCATCAAGCTATGGGAGAAAGCCAGCAGGCGCACCTGACTCATCAAGTGCTTCAGAAGCAGCTCGTGCAAATGAGGCGCCCAACCATCAGTCAGCAACAGTGTCAAAGTCCCCAGCTGCAGGCCACCTCCCAGTAGATGGTCTAGCTCCTGGATCCCTGTGGACACAAGGGTTTGGCCATGACGACCCGGCTTGGTTCCAGGCAGAGAAGCCTTTCCGGACTGACCAGCTCGCACAAAACTGGTGCCGGCCATAAGACTACGTCTAGCTTACAATTTCGATTGCAGCTTGAAAGAATGTTTGCAACTTGTACCCAAGGCCGGAAACCGGCCTGAACATGGGGATTCTGAAACTTTTCAAAAGAATGCTGGAATGGTGCCAAGCAGCAAGTTGTGAAAGAAAAGTGGATGGCATGCGAGATGCTGGATGGCAGCGAAGCGGCCGCGTGGTCTAAATGAGCGGCCGCGTAATGCCGCAACGCGGCTCCTGGACACGCGCAATTACTGGACTTGCCGCCGCACGAGGTTCACGTTAAATGCGGATTTCGACCTAGCAATCAGCTTTAATTTGATGTCTCTCTGGAACCATGTGCAAGAGCTGCTGCATGCAGTGCATGTACGTGCAGCAGATCTGGCATGAAGGCGATCGGGATTGACGGCGGAGCGCTGTTCACCCCATGGCACGTACTCCTTTACATTGCCAATTCGATTCCATGCACTTACTTGTATCGATGTAGACAATTCGTGCCTATTTGCAAGAATGCACTGAAGCTCTGGCGACCGGAGCCGGATTCAAGGATCAAGCTGGCCGGCCATGACAACCGCGAACGACCGTCTTCGTCACGCGCACGCTCGATGTTTGGCCGCTGCTATATAAGGTAGAGCATGTACATCGCTGCTAGAGATCATGGGTTGTTGGCAGGACTTTTAATAAACACCTTGGGCGCCAGAACAGGTTGATCAACTCAATATAAAGTGGCCTGATAAACCTAGCTAGTTGCAATGTAGCTGAGTGCAAACTGTTTGGCTCGCAGCTGCTCTTGCAGCGGCTGTTGCGGCTCTCTATTTCGTGCAACATGCTTATTCGTAAGGCCACCTATACCAGACACACTAGCTACAGCTCTTAACGTTTGACTTAAGGTTGTATGCGGCCTGGAAAAGATGCCTTTGATATTATTAACAACGCTATCCATCGCAGTTCACACTTGAGTCGGCTTTTGCTTTCAATCAACTTCGAAGTGCAAGGCCTCGACCAATTACAAGGAGTCGAATCACCAAGGCGCAACCGCCCCTGAAGATGGATTTTAGCCCAATCTTGCACGCGATCAGGCTGAAAAACAAGCGTGCCGGACGAGCTACGTCGGAGTTTATTTCCAGACGTCTGCTTCCGCCTTTAACGCGACCATGATGCTCGAGGCTGTTCCCCAGCTGAACCCCCGCCTGGCCAGCCAGTCAGCGGTGCGCTTCCATCGCCTATTCACATCCGAACCATCACCACTGAGGAAGTGCCGCTTTGCTGCAACATAGAGCTCCCTTTCTACGTTACCGGAAACGTCCTCTTCATCGTGTTGGCCTGCTAGTTCTTCGACCTCACTTCCACTTTCCGGACTCACCCGCAGAATGTCCGCTCTATCTCCGTAGATCGCTCTGATCGCCTCATCAAGGTTGTCCGTACTGATTCCTTTCGCTTTCAATTCCTGCACAATGGGACGACTTGTAATATCGCGCATACTATCGAGCTAACCAAACGTTCATGGCTCATTCATCCATCAGAATCTTGTTATCGAAGCCGTATGTGCAGCTGCAGCAGTCGTTCCCTACAAACACTTTGTCCTACCTATGTCAGGTAAGCTCACCAACAGAAGATTAAAAATGGTTTTAGAACCGTGCCGGTACTATTAACAGCCGGCCTGAAAGCACCCTAGAAGGCCTTGGAATCTTGGAGGCAGGAGGGGACAAGCGAAAGATCTTTAAATTGAGCCTTTGCTATTCACAGTATTGCAAGGCATTCAATTCCGATTGAAATTGAAAGACATGCGGATCCGTAAATTCGTGAATGCAGGAAACTTACTCTTCTTACTCGGTCGGGGCCCCATCTGAAGCTTTGCCATCTCACTCGTGCGAAGGCTTCTGCATACTCCAAATCGTTCTGTAGGCCGCTGGATGCGCAGACAGGCTAGACGAGTCAGCTATCAGTACTACTCTCTACCTTCGGTTGCAATACTTTCGGTTGCAAAAGCGATTTGATTTGGTTGTGTGATTTGGGTTGTGTACAATGTTGCATCGACCACCATGCAGCGGCTGAAGAAAGTTCACCATTTCCGAAGGCTCAGCAAGATAGTGTTGATTATCGTCGGTCGCTTTGCTTGACAACTGTTTGACATTCGCTTCAACTGGCCCTCTTGACGTCTCGCACTCATTGTCCGACATCTTGGTCCCTCACTGGTGGATACTCTCTTCGTTCTATCAAAGCTTTTACCTCCGACTTGGTGAGATACAAGATTATGGACGTTTGACCAGAACGCTTTTCAGAAGTTTCTGGCTAAAGACGAACAAGGTCCAAACATTGACGAACAATGGGTAATAAAGAGAAAAAGAGTTACCTTTTCGGGTGAGAATCAGCGACTTACATTTCCTGCATCCGGTCAGTGACAACTTTGACTACATTCGCGGGGAAGCCATTTTGAGTGAGCTTATTTCGGAGCTCGGCAGCTGAAATGTGTCTGCAGGAGGGAACACAGAAATGTTAGGACAGGATGGCGCTGGGCTAGCGAGAGTGGACAGAAATGAGAAGCAGGCAGGATCTGTAAGGATCTGAAAGCTTAAAGAAAGAGGGCAGCGACACTTTCAAGTAAACATCAGGTCAATCTCTAGTGACAATCAATCAAGCCCAACGTCCTGCACAATTTGACAAGAGCACGGAGGAACAGGCTTCCCTAAGAACAGAAAACAGAGAACCAGGGGCTGCAAGGGGAAAAGCAAAGAGATTGTACATCTGTGCTGAGCCGGAAAGAGGCTTATTTGTCGGCACCCTGTTGTACGTACAACGCCTCCTTGTATTAAGAGACGAACTTCCGAGCTGGAGACAGATCTCAGTCACCTCCTAGCACGTCTTTTGAACTCAGAGCTTACAAGCAGCCAACAATCTTCTTTCTCCTTTGAGGTTGCACCTTGATGCAATATATATGGAGTACGGGCAGTGCCAGCCTCACCTCCGGTTCAGCAAAGAAAGCGCTTTCTCCTTGGCATCGTCTATCTCTGCAGGGTCTGCTTCATGAGACTCGTCAACATCTTCCTCTTTGAATTGTATTTTCCACTGAGGACCGTTCTGCGCTGCTCTTTGAGCCCGTTGCTTCGACCGCTCATTTCTCTTGGGCATTGGGGAACTTGTTCCAATTGAGTTAAGTGCAAGCGAAGCATTATTTTCTGAATCCTCTACTCCCTGCCCCCTCATCTTTTCGGCCTCACGCCTCAGGAAATCCTCGACTGTCAAGAAGCGAGGCCCTGGCTGTTTTGCCACCTCCGGTGCAGGATTTAAGATTCCCCTACTTCCACTTGCCGGGGTCACTTCACTCTGCAGCTCGTTCGCCGAACCGTCCGTAGGAAGGAAAGTAGCACCAGCTGACTCAGGCACCAGATTGGTTGGGTTACATTCTACACTTTCTACACTTGTGATTAAATCACTCATTGAAGCTCGTCTATGCCTCAGAGCAGGTCTATCTTTCGGGCCACTAAGTGGGGTCACCTTATTTGGTGATCTCACACCAGAAGTGAAAGTTTCGACCTCTGCGCTTGATTTGTTGCTGCCCCTCTTGTCCTTGCCAGAAGCCTCAGCATCTTTAGCATCTGTATCTGCTCTCGGTTCCACAAGTTCACCACCACCATCACCTGCTTGGTGCGTTTCATTCCTCCTTTTCAACTCTTTGAGGGAGACGGGTCTTTGATAGCCTCGCAACCCTGTTGCATGAGAATGCAGATTCTCTTGCTCTCGCTCAGCGTCATACGCAGCTTCAGTTCTCTGCCATGCTAGTGTTCGCACTCCTCGTGGTCCAGTGTGCGAGTTACTCTCTCCGTGTACATGAGAAATCACTTGAACAGCACTACTGATTTTCAGAGCATGGTCAGCATTGCGTGCTTTTACAGCAAAGGCAGGGCAGATGCACCATGACGAGGAGCTACCAATGAGCTTAGCTGCTGCAACTGCTGGGACAGCTTTGGGGTCCCAAAAGCGCACCTGTTGATTGCATACAACGTTAGACATTGGCGTACTGCCAGAGGGTGATTCAGAGTTCAGCAGGACGGTGGACTTGACGAAAGAACATCCATCAGACAGATTGGAATTATTTCGGCTGTCAAGAAGATAGCGCCGCACAGGATGCTGCCAGATTGTCCCGAAAGCGCGCCGCTGCATTGATGCTTCATTCTTAGGTGGATCCAAGGAGGCTCAAGTCTTCTGCTGAAAGGATTCACCTAAGAAATACAGACTGCATGAAAGAAGCTTAGCTCCTGAGCAAAGTATTGTCTAGCAGCAGAAGCATGGCAGGTCAAACAAAGCGCTCACACAACAGTGACTGCCTTGCGATTCAAAAGTTGTTGACATAAGAAAGGCCCCTCTCATATGATGCAGGAAAATTTTGCGCATCAAGAATCTTTCGAGCCATGTACGGTAACCGTCAGATTCAGAGGGAGTGCACAGGTGAACGGTTTCGGTGGAGTCTATCAACAACGCGCATACGGTCTAATACCGTACGGTAGTTTGCATGTGTGCCATGCCGCACAGACATGCATGACGTAGGACGCTTCCATGAATCATGATGAACTTGGAGATCTATACACGTACTGATACATGCGGCCGGCTTGCCATGGTCCATGTAATGATTGCTTCAACGTTGTTAGTAGTTACACTGACAAGCTCGGACGGTATACGTACCTTCCGCTTTCTGCATATTTGCATAAAGGCTGCAGCCATCTTGCAAGGTGCCTTTTGGCAGGTGATCATTGCATCAGAATTTCATTGTTTTTCCATAGAAACGGTCATCCTAGACTGAATGAATTCGCGGAAACCCGTGCATCCCAGGTCGGACAGGCCAGCGCTTGTAAAGAGATAATTGCAGCATCATTCAACCACCGGCTTGTAGGTTTAGTAAAGCTACAGTCCAATGCCAGCGCATAACGTGAAACAAACATAACAAAGAAAGTAGGTTGAGCACCGAGTGTCTCTAGTGACGTCGAGTCAGTACTTGGACAGGCCTCTTGAATCATCAAGCTTAAAAGCATCGTCAATCTGTTCACATTTCAATCAAACCGATATAATACAAGGGTTTCGAGCAAAGCGTATTGGATCTAGGCAATTTAACCTGGGCACTGGTCAACCTTGGAAACCTTTTCTACAACTCGCGAGCTACACCTCCTGTGTCCCGGTCTTATAAGCGGCAACAATCTGCTGATCTAGTTCCCAGTACTTTGGAATCTTTCTGAACGACTTCAGGTCCAAATCAACATAGGCAACCTGACACAAAAGAAGTAACTGTTTGTTCTGGTTCCAAGCACATGCACACGACTTCGTAAATGCAATCTAAAGCAAACCCAGAGAGTCAGATGGATGCTATTTCGATGAATGAAGGACTAGTAGAGCTAGAGCTTTGACCAGACCTCTGGGATAGAAATTGGCGGACAAATAGGCAGAAGAAAATCAATCGCGAGTGCAAGTCTTCACAAGTTGCCCGTTTTTCACAGAGATCCAGACCAAACAAACTGCACTCTTGCCCTACACTAAGGTTCGCCAAACAAACGAGGAGATTGCTAAGATTCGCCAGAGGAACCAGGGGAACTGGTGGATGAATACTAAATCTACAACATTAACGAGCCCGACCTTCCCAGCGTCACGTACCTTACAGAAATAGGACTTTCCCCGGAGCTTCAGAACCCCCGTAGGCGAGGCCTCCGAAAAGCGGAACTGCTGAGCAACCTCCTCTTCAACGGCTTCGAACGTCAGCATCAGTCCGCAGTCTTTGGCAGTCGCCGCAATCAAGAATTCCCTCAGAACATCGAGCTGGGACTCCCGGGGCAGGCTGAGAAGCCGTTTCGTGGCGTCGGGAAGCTCTTTGGGCGCCACCCGGTCGGACGGACTTCCGCAGAGGGCCCAGTACAGCTGCGACACAGAGAGCAGTTGAGAGCAGTTCTGAAATTGCAGTGGCTATTGGCTCGCAATTCAGACTCCGGAGAGCGAAAAGGTCCAGACAAGCCTGAGAGTAACCTGGGTTGCTTTGAAATTGCGGACTGAATCGCTGTATGTTTCTTCGTATGCTCAGGAGATGCGGCCACACGTACAGGTTGACGGTGAGCCCAATCAGCGGTCAGGAGCAATATGAGCGAAAGTGATGGAGTTGGAAGGGCCTTACAAAGGCTCGCTCTGCAACTCAGCGCTCCCACCACACTCTCCGCGCTCAAAACCTGACCGTCCGAAAACGTACTGATATCGCCGCGTTTATGCTATTGTTCTCTTTTCTCGGTAATTCAGATCTGGGCTGTGAGTATTCCAAGGTCGAGGCCTTGATAACCAAAGGGCTCTTCCCTTCTCAGACCGCCATATTGACCCTTCCGCTGTTATTCAAGTTTCCATCAACGAAGCTTGACTACATCAAACCTCTAGAATGAACGAAAAGAAAGGCGATTGGACTCACATGTATGACGCCCTCGATGTCGAACCGGTCCAGCATCTGCGCGCTGCGGAGCCGTTCCAGGAGGATCGATCCAGCCAGTCTCTGTACCAGCAGCTCCTTCAACACTTCTACCCTCAACCCATCAGCAGTTTCGCAGAACCCTTCTAGAGCTTCCTCGAGTCCTGCGAGCGCCCCAGTGTCTTCTGAGGACTCTCTAGACGTCCGTTTGATAGCCTCGCCGTTGATAAACACCCTTAGATTGTTCTGCGGATTGTCGAAGAGGGAGTCGATCGCTCGTATGACGTGGCTCGGATGCATGGAGAAGAGGTCGAGGGGGTCGTAAGAGCTGATGGCATCGACCTGCAAGAGCGAAGCCTCATTGAAGAGACGCCAAGGGCGATTGACTGTCTTCCGTGCGGCGTTCCTACGACTGGCAGAGCAGATGGGCTCTGCTTCAGAATTTGAGAAGCGCGTGGCTACGGAGCAATAACCTGCTCTGCTGGTGGTCTTGCTGCCCCGTTCTTTGACGTTAGCTCTTCGAAGAGCTCGAAATGGAGCTCGAGATGGCACAAGGTCAAGCAGACACGCAACTCTTTGAACTTGTAACAGCGCTTCAAAGTTTACCTTTCCTTGTTCGGCCTTCAAATGCTGCATCAACTCGTATCTCGTCTTCTCGAGTTTCACCCGATTGGCAGGGGAGATGCACTCGGAGGTTGGCAGGAAGCCTGCTTTCGGCTGCATGACACAACAGCCTGGTCAAGCCAAAGCAAGCAGTCAAGAGTCACATGAAGGTGTCAATTGTAGCCGCCGATTCCTACAATTTGAGAACAAGTCGTGAAACCAACAACGTCTCGGGTGACCCTCCAGGAGAGGCGCGCGAGACATACTCCATCAACAATAGCGTCAAACCACAATTCTTCTGTTCCCTAGATTAGCTCGTCGAAAGCAGTCAGTACACGATTCTGTCCCGCTGGCAAAGCCAGGCGCCGCTGCATACCTTAATCTCAACACAAACAGACGGGCCCCTTCGTTGAAACGACCCCCCTTCTTGTCCATTCGCGAGTGCAAAAGTTTCCCCTGGTGATGCTGCGTGGTCAGTGATAAGCAATGCCCAACCGCTCTGTAACCGCAAGGGGCCCTCCTTTTGCCACCTCCCGGGACGGCTGCCTTCAACAACTGCCGTTAGCGACTTAAGGAAGTCATCCTCAGCAGGTACAGGCACCTGCAGCGAACCAAGCAGGATGCATTTGAGTTGGGGGGGGCAGGGGAATGAGGATTACTTGCTATCCTGCATGAGGGCAATGTGAGTAAACTACTGTGGCTTCAGGGGGCCACTTACGCTGTCATCTAGAGATTCTGAACCTAGCGCGATACACTCAAGATCACAGATTTGATCCAGATGTAGCCAATTGACAGTGCATGCGGACCAGTTTGAGTGTTCCGAGCGCCAGAAGTCTTCCTTGTCCTGGTCCATTCCAAGCTGCTCCAAGCCCGAAAAAAGTCTCGAGGCTCTTGATACATTCTTGAGCATCTACTCCGATTATCCTCGACAGAGAGCTTAGAGTCCATTTCCAGAGGTGCCACCTTACCCCAGGGTCCACGAACGCCTCCCCAAGTAACGGTCCCATCACGTGCCTGGCGTACTCATGCACCAACTCCACTGCAGTCTTGGCAGCAGCAACCGTTGGGAATCTTGCCCAGATCTCCTGCTCAAGGGGCTCCAAGAGGGGGCCTGCTGATACTTCTCTTTCTGGAATGTCAGGCTTTGACGTATCTTCGATCTCGTCAACTAAAGGAGCAGCCTCTACACCGTTTGCTCGACCACCTCCAACCTTCTGATGTCGAAGTGGTGAACCATTCAGCAGCGGAGAAGAAACCTTCCCGACACCTCCAGAACCGACAGATGCACTATCCACTGGTTGAAGTTTACCAGCTTCCCCGCTGTCTGTTTCATTCTGAATGTTCAAATCAAAGTGCGCTGACAGACGAAAGCGTTGCGGTTCGGGAGGCCTGGCCTTTTTCACGCCAGCCTTCTGAATCCTCAACACTTTGCCTGCAAGGTCCTTGTCAGGACCTGTGTAAGCGACAACAGCGTTTGCGGCCCCCTCCCCTCGATACTTCCAGCTGCTTTCATTCTTGTCACTCAAAACCCGAATAATCCAAGTTGATGCCATGGCCTCTCACACCGCAAAGACCAATTCTGGCTGGTGTCTTAGACTTGAGAAGAAATATCAGATGAGATCCCAGCGCTTTTGGGAAGCTGAATGCGCCCTTCCTGGTCTTTCCACGGGGAACAATGTAGCATTACGGTCTAGACGCTGGACGTGAACCACTTAGACAGCGTCAGAGCGTGTGCTGCAAGCGACCAGAGAAGAGAGCCTGCTGCGCTGATAGGCGCTAGTGCGCAGGCTTCATTGCAATATTGCACTACTTGGATATTCTCAAAAGGCTTTGCCCGTGGTTGTGTAGGTGATTGCAGTGGCTAGAAGACGGACTCAAGAGAATCCTTAGAGATTTGAACTCAACGACTTCATGGCACGGCATCATGCCGTGCCACAAAATTCTCCTCCTCCCAAGAAAGATGCGCGCATGCATGCATGCTGGCAGGGGCAGCTCGAACAGTCCTGATCAGACTTCAGAAACGGACTCCAACCTAAAAAATCAGTTGTAGCTCCGCCAGGACTCCATCTGTAGCTGGAGTAGAACGGATTGGAGGCCTTTATGAACACTCACCACTTTTGCCTTCCTTAGTAAACTTGAGGGTGGTACAGCAATGGAGTCAAGTGCGCCGATTGTGCGGCCGCTGTATCGCTCTTTGTTGATTGCGGCTCGGAATCTTGCCAAGCAGATTGAGCGACATGGTGGGGTTTGGAGTCAAATACTTCCGCAGGTTGGTGGCGCCCTCTCTACTGCCATACGCCTATCCTTTCTTTCCAGGACAGCCAGCTCCTGTTGATATTGCTTCAGTTAGTTATTGTGTTGTTTGAGTGCATGATGAGGGGCACTCTTACAGAGAGTGCATCCCCGTGCACTGCCCGATTTGGACGAAGTATGGTATAGAAAGGAGTGGTGTTATGTTGCTTCTTGCCCCATTGAAGAGAGGTCAGCATAAACTCGGGGACTTTTCTGCCCGGCTACTCCGAAACTCTCTGAACCTAGAGTACTTTCTGAAGAGCTTAGCAAGGTCTACAAACCATTTTTTGGTCTTGTATTTCAGACAGAGATTCTCTGGTGCGCCGAGCAATTGTCTTCAATCGCCCTGGCCGCGGAAAGGGGGCCAGAGGATCTCAAGCAAGTTGTGCGGGAGGAGTTCCGGAGAACGATGAAGGACCAAGTGAGAGGTTCTTGTCATCGACTTGAGATTTTCGGCAGGGAGCGAACCTAAGATTTCGACGTCTTCTTTCCTGGCCTGGTTGTATGTATTAGCCCCACTTTCACCATCATAGCTCAACCCGACTGGCCTTGATTAATACATGTGACGCCTTGCATTGGAGGAAGTGGCCTTGTGATGATTCGATTTTAGCTGTGCGAGAAGAGTACTTCTGATGCACGCGAAAACTGCTGCAGATACTGTTAGATTGAATGGAAGTTGTTAATATTTAGATATCCTTTAGGAAAACTTCTGCTGCAAGGTCAATGTGCAAGGAAGGACAATTTTCAACCGTATCAACCAGGTGCCAGAATACTCCAAAAGTGCAACAGCTGCATGGCTAGGCACCATCTGTTTTCCCAGGGCTTCGCCCAATACCACGGAGTCTACGCATGATAGCCTTATCTGACTTGATACCAGGTCTGCTGCATCTGTCTACTCGCCAACCTTCTGACCCCGTCAAGGATCTTTGATGTCTATGATTGAAGACACTTTGCTGAGATGAACAGCTGGCGCTCTTTTTAGCATGCTCTCACAGTCTGTCACTGACTTTCTCAATATCAGGGGTACCAAAGTTCCGATCTACACGGAAAGCCTCTGAATCTTTCTCCTGAGGGTTCCTCCATACTTCAAATTGGGTGTTGAAAAAGAGCCTCAGATACTTTGTTAAAGCCGCATCCATCTCCTGACGGCATATACCCAGCAGGATCTTGATGAGGGGATAAGCACAAGGTTTCAATTTCTCTTACATTGGTACTTATTGAAACTTGTGTTCTTTCAAAGCACAGGTCGGGTGCAAGCTTGGCAAAAGACTCTCTCAAATTGATCCAACGCCATAAACTCTCTCTGGCAGGATCTTGACGACCGGATAAGCACGGGGTTCCGGTTCCTTTCACGGCTGGGCCGGCAGGCACGGCTCCTGGAACAGCTAACGGTGCTGCCGCGAAGCGAAGCAGTGACGGACTGCGTGCGGGTTTCCATGTACAGCACTTTCATTGCGCAGCAGCAGATGCACCGGATCCAGCAGCACATCTACCAGTACCACGTGAGCCAACCTTTTCGCTTTCTGGGTCGGAGAAAGTCAAGATCCCGTTGGCAGGAGCCGGCTTAAGTTGAGGCGAGAGTAAAGGGCCGCAAAGGTTTTCGAGCTCCACGTTTTTCCGGTTGAGTTGTTTGTGTTTGATAGGTCCGACAAACCCGTACTGTAGTTTCTCTCGCACATGGCAAAGATGTCCTCAGACGTCAGAAGCGACGTTGGACTGCCTCGCTTAGATGGCAATCCGTTGCGCGTTGATGATAGCCCGTCACGATGCTGGAGCTTCGAGGTTACAAGAGTACTTCCGGACCGTTGCAATTTCGATCGGCGATCTATGTCAAGACGCCTAAAAGCCTGTGGATGTTTTAAGCGCTTGTTTCCATCTGCAAATTACGGTCAAGAGAAGGAAGAAGCTCGTTTGTCTGGAATCCATGGTCAACAAAAGGAAGAAGCTCGTGGACAAACTCAACGTTGGTTGACAGTGTTCGGAGGGAAGCTCCTTTTTGATCTCATTTCAAACAGGACAGGAGCCTGCCTCTGACCAACAGCAAGACCCAACAGCAAGAGAACAACTCTTGTTCTGCCCCATCGCAAAAGGCAGCTTTGTATATTGAACGGGCCAGCTTTGTTGTCGAACCTTCCTGTCGTAGGTTAGGGATGGAACGCGCATTTTTTAAAGCTGTCTTCACTTCGTCTCTTACGTTGTTGAACTTGCTGGGCCTTCGGGACAGAAGTATTGAGTGCAGTAGTTTCGAAATGGTTGCACTTCGTGCTCGTCTTTACAGCTGTCCAGCGATGTCTTCTGCTTACAGGTGACGATTACGAACGAGGGCAAGGAGCCAGTCACTCTGCTCAGTCGCACCTTCAAAATCTTAGATTCCGAGGGGAACTTGCAAGAGGTAAGGGGTCCCAGTGCTGTCAGCCCCTAGCCGCTTTTGCAGAGGTATTCTCGACTTTGCTGGTTGACAAAGATAATGGAGCTTCACTTGGCTGCTGGCTTCCCCATATTAGTGCGCCTACGAGAAGCCACTTGATTGTTCTGTTTTGTATCCTCTGTATTCTATTGGACACCACGGATCAAAATGTTGGTTGCTCGAATCAAAACGCTCGCCCTGTGATTACTATGTACCCGATCACTTGACGATTTTCTAGAGTATGAGTGGCATCGAATTGGCCTTTGCCCAGAGCATCATAGGTTTCGTAGAAATTGAAGTCTGCAAGACAGTTGGGTCTTCGATCGTCCCATGTCGGCAACATCCGATGCCCTGTGTCTGCTCATTTGTTTCCTACAGTAAGTCGACTCAAATCCTCCCAATATGCGGAAACCAGTCAGCGTATGCTACTCCTCAACTTGTACAGGCTCTTGCTAGTGCACCATTGTTCGTATGGCTGAGTATTGGCCGGAAGCGCCACCCCATGCGTGCATCCCTACGTGCATCCGCTCCTGCAAGTTTCCACAACCATCTGAGCGCTGACGGGTATTCTGATCACAGGTACACGGTCCAGGCGTGCTTGGGCAACAGCCAAACATTCCGCCGGGGGAGTCGCACTCGTATGCTAGCACGGCTGCAATCCAAGCGAAGGGCATGGGTCAAATGAGCGGCTTCTACTCAATGGTGACAGACAGCGGTCATTTGTTGGACGTCGAAATAGCGCCATTTGCATTCAGGCCGTTCCAGCCGGTTTCGGCCTCGACTTTCTTCTCGATGCTGGAATCCGGAAACTCCGCGGTCCGACGTTTTGATAGTATCAGAATCGGTGCACCATCAGTTGATCGAAAGTGACACGTGACACGTGATATTTGATTGGAAGAGTACATGAAAGGTAAAGGTCAGGTTTTGTACTTACCAGGTGGTTGAATTGTAAACTTTTCAGAAAGGTCGCCATGTGGCCGTTTGCTCGCATTGTGGCTCAATCAAGAGGAAAGGGTTTTAACGTTTTTGGCGGAGAAAGAACAGGGCATACCGAATCGTTTGAGCGTGGTCTGCTTTCAAGTTAAATGTACAATAGAATGTTGATTAGGCAATAGCAACTTCCAGCTCCTTGAGGTTTGAGCGCTGGTGCATCCAGTTTCTGTCCATGTGCATCCGGACGCATACAATGATGACCCGGAAATGAGCATAACCGTCGCTTTGTGCCACAGCCAAATTAGATCATGTAAAGGCAATCAATCTGTTCCTTACTAAGAAGGTAGAAAGCGCAAATGAAAACAACTTGTTTCGATGCTGGGTACTTGTATGTAATATTGTCGAGGGTTTGGTCTCATGATTACGTGCGGCATGGTGAAATCGGGCCGGGTACGTGGCCAGCGATGTCCGGCCATGCGCTTGCTTGCAATGCAGCTTGCAAGATGACATCATGATGTCTACATCCTTTTCCCCTTTCAATGCAAACTGCTTCATGCAAGACAATCGAAGCTCACCGAGCTTGTGCAACACCGTAAAAATTGGTGTCACTGGTGTCACTAAGCTAGTTCAAGTATCAAAATCTACAGAGACAGCCTGGTTAAATCACACATATATATCATGGGACGTGTAATATGATGGCCAATGATATTGTTCTGTGTCCTACATGGAGCTAGAAGCTAGAGTGGTAGTACATGAAGGTGCTGCGCAAAAACCTTTCCCGCCAGCCTAGATTGAGCCAATATCTTTTGCATTATATTGACACATGGCGTCGCTGATTCGTCGACAGTTCCTTCAGTCATGCTGACCTGGCAAACTATCTGGAACCCTAATTTCACGCGGTTGCTGATTTCAACATATCGTTTTGCCCATGGCTAGGTAGCTTGAGCCCTGAGGAGCCTTTGAAGTTTGAGAAAAAGCAGGGAAAAAGCTGAGGAAGGCAACGCTGCAACGCGCAGCTGGTTGGAGGTGAGAGATACGCCGCATTCTTGCAAAGGAAGCCTGAGCTGTCATGAGCAATCTTGTCCTCATCATCTTACAATATTGAAGACTTGTTCTGGAGCAGACTCTTGGATGTAAGAATCCTGGGGGGCCGGAGCCATGGCAACGCAGCCGACTGCGGTTCTTCGAGGTTTCTCCTCTATGGCTGCACGGTTTTCGGTGCTGGGAGTGGTTGGAGCTGGGCAGATGGGGAGCGGAATCGCGCAGGTCGCTGCCACTGCTAGCCTGGACGTGATCTTGAGTGACGTGGATCAAAGGGCGCTGGACCGGGGCATGCAGACAATTAAGGCTTCTTTGACAAAGTTCGTGACAAAAGGGACTTTGGGGCAGGTGAGGGCTAGAAATGTTTCTTATCAAAAGTTACAACGAGGGGGCTGCATCTGGCTTCTGCAATTGTATTGGAGCAAGGTCGTTGACGAGGCACAGAATGGCAAGAAGTAATGAGAGGTGCAGATCAGGCCCGCTGATCACATTCCTTTGACAATCAGGTGATTGTGCACGCTGCCTAATTTGGACAGCTCATTGTCCAGCTCACTGTCGACGTTGTTCGGTGGTGCAGGAAGAAGCTGAAAACATCGTGAGTGCCGTTGACCATCAGGTGAATGTGTATGGTGTCTGTCTAGCAGTTGCACTATCTGTCCAATGATTGCAAGTGTTTATCTAGTGCAGGAGGAAGCTGAGAAGATCATGAAGCGCGTACAAACTACCACCACCCTGGAGGACTTCCATTCAGCAGACGTTGTGATTGAGGCTGTGGCTGAGAACGAAGCACTCAAGAGGCGAATCTTCTCCGAGCTGGACAAGGTGGGGCAGAACATGAATACAAAACTTTAATAGCAGCTGCGAAGTCTTCTTAGGGTGCTGGATCTGGCGTTGAGAGAGTTGACCCTACTCTTTGCCGTGACAAGCGGCACAAAGAATCAGAGAACGTCCATTCATCTGCACGAAAGACCTGGCCTCTAAAAGGAAGCCCCAGATGAGAAAGAAAGGGTGGCCACAAGCCTGCATCTTTCAGGAGAGACTGTTTGGACTGGCCCGAGCTTGTGCACTGAACTCGGTCAACTCGAGATTCACTCAATGTTTTCTGTGAGGGTCCACAGTACGAATCCTGCGCCTCCCTTTTGTTGCGCACCTGCTTACTGCTGCTGCTTGCTTATTGCAGTAAGCGGGAATCATCAGCTGACAGGGCCTGCAGACAGATCCCCTCTGCTTTCATCCGGAAGCCTTCTTTGATTTGTAGTATTCTGTCTCTTGGCTCTTATTGCTGTCAAACTGTCGCTCTTCTGTAGGATCGTTCCATGAAGTTCGAATGAGTGCAAGGAAGCTTTGTTTGAGCGTTCACGCATCTGCCGTTCGTCCATCCTTCTTCGAGAAATGTTGCCTGGTATCTCATCCTCCCAGTCAGGAGTTCGAAAGCATCGCACCCATCCCTCTAGATTTGGGTTCCCCGGCTGGATCACACAACAAAAAAACGCTTCTGTGTCTGGTTCAAAACCACACCCTCTCGCGCGTTCGTACACTCTGCCTGGGCCCGGTGCTGCCCCACCTTCAACTGCCTCCAAAACTCCTGTGGACCGTTGCACAAAGTTTCCAAGGAACTGGAAATCGTGCACAGAATCCAGCCAAGCATGGGAAGCTGTCACAAATTGGCTCATAGCCGTCTTTTCTTCGCCTCGCTTTCAGCTCGTCCCATGACGAAATAGCAGCTTCTCCTTGCTGATTGTAACCAAGGACCCGAAAGTCTGTGCAGATGGTCGCCATAAGATGTTTGACTTGATGAGGTTTCCACTAACTCAAGCTGAGTGCGTTTGCAGATTGTTGCCAAGGAAGCTATCCTGGCGTCCAACACCAGCTCCATCTCAATAACACGCATCGCGGCCGCCACGCAGCGGCCGGAGCGTGTCATTGGGATGCACTTCATGAACCCGGTGCCGCTCATGAAGCTGGTCGAGATCGTGCGGGGCATCGCCACAGACGTGAGTGTCTCTTTAGGATTTGGCCCCCTCTTCGTGCTGCCTCTTCGTTTCTGGTATCTTTCTGGTCCCTACCGCGTCGCTCTCCAGATCCTTGATGCATGATTTAGGCATTGGATGAAGGTGCGAGACTCGATAGACAAGCACCCGTCAAGAACCCCCAGCTTCGTGGTTTATCACAATATAGGTAACAGATGGATGGTTGCGGATCAATGGAAAGTCAAACTCTTCGTTTTACTTCGTTATTGAAAGCGATCATGGGCCTTTTGGATACCTGTATGGTCCTGGAAAAGGACTCAATTTTGGGCCAACCACATGTCTCCGTGTTGCCATATCTGCTGTAAGCTTCCAGAATCTGTGATGCTTGTTTCGTGCGATGCAGGATGCAGTGTTCGAAGACACGAAGCAGCTTGCGCACTGGCTGGGCAAGACCGTGTGCTGCTCCAAGGACTACCCAGGCTTCATTGTCAACCGGGTACTCATGCCCATGATCAACGAGGCCTTCTACGCGCTCTATGAGGGGGTCAGTCTTCTTTCCCATCCGACAAAGTGGATTGTTTTTATCGTGTCGTCTTTCCCAAAGTCTTGTCAGATAGCCGAAGTTGAGGTATCGGAGGAGCTTTCCTTGAAAGTCTTGTCATCCGTTCCAACCAAATGCTCGCGTGCCCTTCAAATGTGAAGGTTTGCAACAGGCACGACATGAACGTTATATGAAGGTGCTACGGGCACAGCAGGTTGCATGTCGGCTTGGTGCCTAGGCTAAATGATGTGTATTACTCAATGATCGAGAACTGTTGGTCTCCGGCTTTCTTAACTTGAAGCGCTTTGCTCCCAACAATCTGACGCTCTGCTCGACCTGGTTTTCCGTCCCCTTTTGCTGCGAAAGCGCAACCATCTGGGGGCTGTTCTATCGTTCCTGAGCGTTCAGGCATACGGTTGCAGGTTGCGTCGGCGCAGGACATCGACCTAGGGATGAAGCTCGGAACTAACCAGCCTATGGGCCCGCTAACCCTGGCTGACTTTATCGGTAAGGGACACGTCCGCCCCGGCTTCATCCTTTTCGTACTTTTGTAGGCTCTTGGCTTCCGCTCCCGCAACCGGCTTTTGCGTTTGGCTGCTACCGACCTCCCAGCGCCTCAGAGCGTGATTGAGTTCGACGGCGATGGATTCGAATCGGCCGCTCTATCGCCTAGTTTTGCGCGCCTGCTTGACTTCACGGAAGGCAGCGTTGGCCATGTCACTTTCGTACCGGGTTCCCCAAAATACTTAAACGCGTCCAGCTTGCAATCGAAGCTACTGTTGAAGATTCTGTTGTGTCAGCCAACTTTTTGCAGAGGGAGGACTTAGCACTTGAGATTCCTAAGAGTACCCGTTGGTTTCGTTGCTTGCAGGTTTGGACACGTGCCTTGCGATTATGCGGGTCCTTCACGACGGCCTGGGGGACAGCAAGTACCGGCCGTGTCCACTCCTGGTGCAATACGTGGACGCCGGATGGCTGGGGAAGAAAGTCGGGAAGGGGGTGTACAATTACTCGAAATTGTGACACAGCAGCGCTGGGTTAGGGGTTTAGGATGAACATACGCACAGAATAACTTCAGGTCCGTTCTGCAAACTCGAATGTTCTGGGGTTGAGTGTACATAGCGGGCAAGATGAGCCAAGTGAATCTTGCGGGGATCAGTAGAGAGTCAGGTTTTTTCGGGCACCACAACCAGAGGCCTTTGGTCTCAACGGGGTCCTCTAAAGAAGTCAGTATTAGGGCCGTACGAGCGTGCGAGGAGTGGCAATGTATCTGCCTTGTCATCTAGGAGATCGTTCCGCACCCTAGAAGGTATTAGCTTTTCAATGACGAGAACCAAGGCGCTCTTTCACTCATGCAAGTGTTGTGCCTTGAGTCTCCTTCTGTAATTCAAGAGGTAAGTCTAAGAAAGAAATAGGACGGGACCAGGAAGGAGGTGAACTATCATTACGGGACCAGGTAGACAACTCCATTTGCAGAATTGCCTGAGGCACCCTGCAGTCTAAGCAAAAAACTTCGCCCAATCAGCCGCTTGTTGAGATTGTAGAGATTTTGCGCAAGATCAAACCAAAGACGGCAAGCCCGTAAATACGAGAGCTAACTAGAAAATCTGGTAGGCCGAGGTTTGCTACTTTGGAACACAAGAGACCAAAATGAAAGATAGCTGATACATGAAATGATTGAAATTTCTGAATTATGAAACATTTGAATAGACCACACCGGCAAAGGTACGGTTGGCGACATGCAAGCTTGAATGAGGAGGACAACCTTCCTGTAGAATCCATCTGTGTTGCAAACCATTCTAATGAAAACTTGCGATTCTATTGAAGCTAGCCCGATAAGATGCGTTGAAGTGCAATCAGAGGTGGAGTCGGCGAGCATATGCTAGGCCGCCGGCCCGCATCCACACTTAGATCTTCATATGTAGATATAGCATGCGAAAGATGATGGTCATGACCTTCCGTACTCGCCGTAAGCCAATTAATAGCCAGGCCATATATTCAACCGTAATGATCATGTGCAACATGTAGTTGAGTATCTAGACTATAGACAAACAAGAGATGCTGATTTCTCAAATATAGATCAGCGCCCTTGGAGCATGGTTGCATGGTCTCCGCAAAGATCGAGAAGGAAGTGGTCCATGACTTGCAGCTTTGTCATGCACAGCTGCAAGTCACGTCGAAAGAGCAAGGCCGGAGCAATACTCGAAAATCCGAAGACAAACATCATAAACATGCTGAGGCGGTGCCTCCCTTTGAACTTCGGAATACTAAGCGCTCGCCGGCGACTGGGGATCCTGCCCACATGGCGGCCCCCGCGGGCGGCTCGAGAGCTTGGGCGGCCGCGGGCCCCTTTGACGACCGTCGATCGGACCAGGGTTTCAAGGTTTGTTTGAGCACATAACCACAGTCACGGAGACAGATCGGACGGCTTGCAAAGTCGAACGCTCTTCATCGACGCTTCAGAAGTTGGCACAATGCTATCCGCAGAAGAAGCTCCACGGTCGGAACATTCTTCCCCAGAGCGCGGATCTCTTGCCACCGTGGAAGGATGCCTGAGGCTGTAGAGTTGCGCTTTGGAGGAGGAGCTTTTCATCGCAGGGCGCTCTGTTTCTGTCTGGTTGTCTAGCTGTAGACCTTGAAGGCTTCCATCCGGACGGTGCAGAAGGCTCCCAAGGATCTCTGCAAACAGACACCGAGACAAGGGGCTTTTGGTGCTGTCTCATTGGTTGGTTGTTGGAAGTGTAGTGGTCCTCTGCAGCCCTCTGAAGCGGTTTCAGCAAGATATCGGGCAACTGCCAAGTACCTCTAGTTCGTAAACTTTTTTGGGCAAGTGAACAGCAGGCCTGCGGGAAGTTCTCCTCCTGTCACAGGATGGCGACTTCCTCGCAGATTGGGAGGCTGGGAGGCCTGGGCTCTGTTGCCCATGCTCCTCTCAGCCAGTCAGCAGAAAGAGGTGGGCGGACAAGGAGAGGGCAGGCTGCTCTTTCCCCTGTCCTGCCTCTCCGGTCATTCCAGGCGTCTTCCTTCAACCTTCCTCAACTCAGATCGGGTCCTGTGCTCAAGCCTCAGCATTTCGCTGCTGCAGGGTGCTTGCAGCAAGGATGTAGCAAACTAGGTTTTAGTTCGTTCACAGGGCTGGCTTTGCCAGCAGTTAGCAGCAACGAAAGGTTGGTTCGGGAGAGGCAGGGTGCACTCCATGTGGTCAGCGAAGCTGGGGTTGCGGATGAGCAGGACCGCGGGGAGAGGCAGGAGCCTATTTCTGGCTTCAGCAAGGAGATGATGGTTCCTACATCCATGGCCAAGATTGGGACACAGTTTGGGGGTGGCTCGGCAACCCTGGAAAGGGGGAAACTAGATTTGTCGAAGGAGGCGGCAACAGCCACGCCAAAGGTGCGCTTGACAAGCATGACGACCTTAAAGTCAACCTCACAGGAGGTTTCTACGCTGTTGCATGTGCTCCTTTTGTGCACCCCGAGAGTCCAAGCTCGTCACTATTGGCAACCTCGTTAACAAGAATGAAGAAGGGTATCTACATTTCCAGGGAAGTTTGATATTTATTGGTAACGGTTATAGCTCGTAACAGAGGGGAATCAAGGAGCATGGGGATAAATCAAAAGTATGTAGCATTCTGCAGTGTGTGTTTTGTGTCCCGGTGCATCCGCAGCTTCGTTACAGAATTCAAGCAGCATTGTCCGTCTGTTTACTTGGGCATTATATTGAAGGCAATCACTGTTGCAGCTTGACAAGGCAGGCTACCATGCTCAAAATCAACAAAGCTGTTGGTCATGAGAGTCTTTCTCGTCCTTGACGAGGCAGACTGCACTGTAGCCTTGACCCGAAGCTCAAACCCTAAACTATTCGGCCCGCAATACAAGCTCTTCTGGCAAGGGGACAGGTGCATAGTATTCTGAGGTTGGAGGATTGCTGCAACCCTAAACTCCTTGCTTGCACTTCAACGCCTCGTGAGACTGCAATGCCAGATCTGGGGTGCGTCCTGGTTATTTTTTCCTAGGAAAAGAACATGTGGTTTCTGATCCGTCGATTTTGCGAACTATGTCAGGTGGACGATGGTTCAGGCGGAGGTAACAAAGGGAAGGATTTGAACAACGGAGGTGGCGACGGTGGGGATGATGGGGGTGACGATGATGACTATTTCGACGATTTTGACGATGACGGCGATGGTGGAGACGATGGTTTCTTTGGCAGGAGAACAGAGATTGTGGAGGTGAGTTCTTTAAAATAACCTTACTGTACTTGAGTACCAAGTCGAATGTACCTTTCAGAGTCAGCTGAGAACCTGTGTGCTAGAATGTTAGGTAACATGGTCTCTAGTGGCTACCGCACAACCTCATCTGCTGCTTTTTTTTGGTTGATTGAACACCTGAGGAGATGAAAACTTGGTGAGAAATTGACAAGTGCACTATCCTGAAGCTGTTACAAGTGAGTTCAAAGTCGACTCTAGCGATTGTTGCAAATGGTAGGGGGCTGTCCGGTACAGTTGATCAGAAATCAAATAGAACCCTAGTTGAAGCCTGACAATCGAAGTATGCAGAGTTTTGCATGAGAGATTTGCGGGAAGTTGAATGAGGGGCAACATTCAAACACTCATGTTGGGAGCTGAAGACACGCGTTGCATTGTCTTGCAGCTTTTTGACCGGGAAACAATCGAAGCCGTTCTACAGGAGTGGTATCGCACAGTTACTGGTCTGCCTAGTGGCGTTCGGCGAGCTGTTGAAATGGTAAGGAGTACACTTGTTAGGCTGTTGCTTGAAACTGGTTTGTTGTCCAACGTTGTCCAACGTTGTCCAACAATAGCATCACGTCATTGATGCCTTGGAAACTGGACCTTCATTAGCAGTTTATTCTCTGAGTTGCTGAATGCAGGAACGCATCTTGCATTTTCGGTTCATGTTACCACGGAGTGTTATGTATCTGATGCAGTTCAGGAATGGGTGCAACCAGCAAAGGTCTGCACTTCATAGCGTCAATTTCACACCGTGCTTGCTGTGCAGGGCATGGTGAGCTCTGCTCAGCTGGTCCGATTACTAAACACAGATTGTCGACCGACAATAGCACGAGCAGTCACCAGGCACACCCCTCCAGATTTCGCAAGGGCTTTCTTGGGAAGGTACGTTGCTGCCCCCCTGCGATTGGTACTATCTGGTTCATTTGTAGGATTCCTCTGTGGCACTAAGGAGCGGCCATGATCAGCTCTTGAGAAGACGCAATGTCTTTGAAAATGTGTGCAGCATCTTAGGTCGAACAGTTCGGCAGATATCTGGATTGAAGAGTCGCTGCCCCTTCTGAATTTCACGGCATGTCTGGCTCTGCCTACAAAGATTTTTGTTATCATGTGGCAATCAGCTAGAGGTTTGTCTTGTTAAACAGTAAATTTGGTTGCGCAGGAATGACCTCGTTTTCTTGGAAAACAGCTAATTAAGAGGCTGTCTGGCAACCTATATTGAGTATGTTCTCCTAAATCCTGTGAGCACCCTTTTCCAGATTGATGGCAGACCCCGCATTCCTTTGGAAGCTGAGTCTGGAGCAGGCATTTACCATCGGAAACGCGGCATACTGGGAGATTAAGCAAAGAGGGTCAAGGTGAGCTTGATGAAGCCTCTCATTTCCCTAACGCGTTAGGGTTTGTGGCATGCTTCTGGCAAACTTGTCAGGTCAAGGCAGTTTGTTTCGCCCTACTTTTAAGTATTCTGAAATGGAGAGGACGAAGGGCAGAAGGAAGTTTAGAGGCGAGCGAGCAGGTTATGAGATTAGAGGAGAACCGGCAGGTCGTGCGGAGCGTTGTAAAGTTGCTGTGACATATTCTTTGATGGACCGAGCAGCTGTTCTCGAAAGTCAGGCAACGAGCTTGAGTAATATGGAGTAGCTCTGAGCTAGGCAAGCTTGTCCTCGTTCATTGAGTATACTAGCTGTTGTTTACCGGGCCCCTTTCACACATCCATCTGTCACAGGCTGAAATGAAAGGCCCAACAGTGGCGTGGTGCTTCTAATCATAGGGTTGGTTGGCGGCAGCCCCCTGTCTGGATGTTTCACCTGCATGATGTACGTCAGTAATCGATAGAAGGGATGGGTTGTTTAGCTCCCCGGATCTGACCCCTGCAGTCTCCGTCTTCAGACTCAGGCACAAGGCTTCATACTATTTTGCTGCGCACTTTGTTCTTTGTTGCGGAAAGTTTGCAGCAAATCAGGGTCTCTTTTTGGACATCATTTGAAGTCTGCCTGCCTGCAAAGTTCTCGCCTCATGTTTGCTGCTCGAGAGACGAGGCCCTCTCTTCTATAGTTCTTGGCCCCCTCTTTAAACCACTCACTTCGCTAGGAACCCCCTTTTCGATTTAAGTTGTTGCGGCGTGCTCTGTTTTGCCTCTTACTTGTATGGATTACTGATCCCTATATAACATTGAAACTCCTGCATGCAAAGGTCCCCCAAGCTATTCGGAACATATCCCTCTGCTTTTCACCTTCTTAGTCGTTTTTGCTTCTCTTCACCCTCTGAGACACTCTTGTCTGATGCTGGAACATGGATTTTAGCGCCGAATTCAGCCTCTATTTGTCCTCTGCCCTTCAGGCTCAAGGACGAGTGGGACCTGGCGGTCGTCAACGTGCTGACGCTCGCGGCCGCGAACATGGTGATCAACTGGTCGGTCGCGCCGTGCCGCAAGTACCACGAGCCGTTCCGGTGGGAGTGGCAGAACACGCTGCAAAAGCTCCCGCACAACGCGTTTGACAAGTCGTACAAGTTCGCCGAGCTCTCCAAGCTCGACCGCTTCTACGGCTTCGCCTACAAGTCGGCGGAGCTCTGCGCAATCGGGAGCGTTCTTGGGAGTGTCGGTGGGCTGGTCCAAAACGCGCTGGTGTCGGTCCGGCAGAAGATCAATCCGAAGTATAGGCCGTCGGTTGCGGTGCCGTCGGTTGGGGTTAGCAGCTTGGGTTACGGCGCCTTCATGGGGCTGTCGGGTAACCTGCGGTACCAGCTCATTGGTGGGCTTGAGCGGTTCATGGGGGCAAAGTACTCGAACCTCGGGTTTATCACACTTGTGACGACGGCAGCCAGGTAGGCGCTTTTTACACTGTCTTTGAAGAGTGTGATGTCTGCCGTCGCTCTTGCAGTATTGTTACGGAGTTTCTGCTGTTGCTTTTGAAGGATTTGTCGAAACGAAGCGGGCTGGGCGACCGTGCTGTGTAACCTAGCCAGTCACCATTCGTCAGGAGTCTGGTAGTCTGCTGCAAAAAGAGCTTGAGAAAGCTCCTTCAGACAGAGCGGCAGTTGCGCCTTGATCCGGGTTTGTTATCAGATTTCTTCATAGCTTAGGTGCACCAAGGTTTCAGTTGTGCGTCCTGTCACAGCGGTTCTGGTTCGACATTTGAGGCTGTTTTCTTGCAAACATCCTTGGGTCAGAAAGAAGACAGTGCTCGTAGGTTATACATGGATTCACAAGCATGGGGCAAGCATCAAGGTCAGCCGTCTTCAATTGAATTCTGTGTCTGCTTGAACTCATCTTTAGAGCAACTAATATGACATAGCAACATCGCCCATGTTGACAACAGAAATCGAAGAGGTTTGTGCGTGGGACTTGCAGATTTAGCAACGTGCGGCTAGGAGAGCCCACCCGTCTGCACTGGTTGGGGATGGACTCCGGCGCCGCGGCATTCCGCCGGAAATCCGCAGCCGCTGGCGGGCTGCTCGACAAAGCCGGTGCTTTCTTCAAGAAGAAGGGTGTGAAGATGACGGTGAAAGGGAAGGGCAAGGGCAAGGGGAAGCTGAAGGCAAAGGCGTCACCAGCACCAGCAACGCAAGCACCAGAAGCCCCACAAGAGCCGAAAAAGCCGCGATATCGGGTCAGGAAACGACCTGAATTGCAAGCAGTAGCAGCGTAGAGTCGAACAGACAGCAGGGCATTTTGTAACATTAAGCTGAGACCGAATAGCAACTTGTAGGACAAGGAAAGGCCAACGGGAAAAGGTCCTTGAGCAAGAGCAGTTTTGTTCAATTGGCAACCTGATTCATTGAACAGAGTCCCTATATGTGTCACTACTGACCTTGATATCAAACGTTTCTCTCTTATGAGGTCTGCGCACCATATGTCATTCAGCCACCCATGGTCTTCAGATTCACTGAGATTGAATTGTTCTTTGCATGGGCCTGCATGTGCATGCTGCGAATTGCGTGCTCGCGGGTCAGTAAAGTGGTCGCCCCCGGGAGCCCCCGTATATGAGGCTTCCGACACGATCAATTCTCTGTACTACTTAGACTTCCTTGCAGCTCATGCATGATCTTGAATTAATAATCTCCTGGTTGGTATCAAAGATATCATGCTTCGCAATGTTGCTTAACATGCATGCATGCAATTGGCAGTTTCAATGCATGGTTTCGTGCAATTAATTTAACTAGATATACC